AGCCGAACGCTATCCTGCAAATGTTGTCGAATGTAAATCGTTGGAGGATATCTTGCAAATCAAGAACAACGGGGTCGCCGGCTGCGGCAGAAGAGAGAATGGGGATGAGGCGGTCAGAGAGCTCGGCGTCGACGACGGTCTCGACGAATTTACGCAGAGATCTGGTGTTGAACTCGTGACTGGAGAGCTGTCTCTGGAACTTCCAGTTGTCACCATTGGCGTTGAAGATACCATTCCCAAGGAAATCGCCGAGCGCTCGGTGGAGATTATGGCCTTTGTGGTAGATGGGGAAGTGGGTCTTGAGAATATGTTGGACGACGGCGGGATTGGCGGTGAAAACCTGGCGGGAGCCGAAAGAGCGGTGGAGGGTGAAGGTGGAGGAGGGAGTGTGGCGGAGGATGTCGGCGATCCAGAGGACACGGCGGTGTTTGTTGGAGGCGACGGAGAAAACGGAGCCAATGAGAGGATAAGCTTTAGGGATGACGGCGGAGGAGGGAGGGTGGGTGGTGGTGTGGGCTCTGCGGGAGGATAAGAACAAGAGAAGAAGAGTGAGTCCCAAGAGAAACGAGGAGACGACAAGTCCAAAATCAAGTTCCATGCTGCCTCGAACAAATGGTATGAGTAATGTAATATAACCACTGCATTCAGTGCATTGTATCTACATGTGAGTTCGTTTCTCTATATATATACTGAAACTTGGCTCTCCACGGGGCTGCTTTGAACCAAAAAATCTGCTCCAAGCCAAAATGTTTCCCTACACACACGGTAGTTTTACTTTTGTCATGGCGCCACCCACGTCCAGTTATTTTCTCACTCAAGGCCATTCGACTAACAAGTGCCACTAAACGTCATTTTCCTAACACGTGCTCAAAAAATCGAGGTTGAATATAAATAGATTATGCAAGCCAATTTTAATTTTAATTCCCACAATAGTTACTGTGTTAATAAAATTTTTAGTCCATCAAGTTTATTTTTATTTTAGTCTTGGTCCCACAAGTTTCTTTCTATTTAAAAACATTAGTTCTTATAATTTAATAGAAACCATTTGGCTTCTTCAATGACCAAAATCTATAGTTTAAAATTATATACGCAAATTAATAATACGACTAATTATTTGACCAAAACAATAAAGACTACTAATTAGCTCGTGTTTTAATATTCTATATATGAGTGTCTCTCTCTTTTATTATTGAAGGATAAAACTATCAAGTGATCGTTGTTTTGTTTGACAGCATATAGTCAAAACTCCAAAGGACTTGTTGTTTGATGACAGAGGGAGTGTGTGTGTGTGTATTGATTGTTCCAATTTGATGGGGAAAAAATTAGAATTTCGTACACCATCTGCGATGTAGTAAAGGATTAGGAACTGGGGAGAAGCAAAGGTTGGGGTAACAGGGTAAGACAGTGGGCGCGCACACAGACACGGATACTGTACTTAGTGCAAATTGAAGATATAAATCATGTAACTAAATTATACTGATGTGTAGATATGAAAAGTATAGTACTGCTACTAGTATATGCTAAGGAAACGGAGGTGATGTGATATTGACGGTGGGGGCGGGGGGATGGGAGCCTCCTACATACACGTGAAGCATAAGAAAAACATGAGAGATAGTGGAAGTAAGAGCAGCGCCGCAATTTCTGTAGTCTCCGCCCTGCCTGGTGCCGTGCCAGGCCCTCCACTGCCCCGCTCTCTTGCTTTTTAATATGTACATATATATATATATATATATATTATTGTGTATGATTTATATATACTCTTCTTATCTTAAATATAATACCTATTTTATAATGTAAAATGTAAAACTCGTTTTATAGTATAATTTTATATTATAAAATGGACTTTACATTTCGAACGAGAAGCGTGTATATATATTAGTATCAGATTTAATTCCCTTGTCTAATTGCTTCCTTCAAATATATCTTAGCTACTTGTCTTGTGTTTATGCAGCGCACATAGCTGATAATGATAACTTATACAAGCCGCAGCTCCGAACTCCTATAGTCCTATCCATCCCTTTTGGCTCATGCAATCATCACCTTTTTAAAAACGGCGATGTCGTCCGCCGAAATCTCTATGCACAAAGCCCCGTCACGTGGCTGCAGGCCAGCGTCGTTGACATGCTCAAGTTTTCAACTTCAACCCGCACTACCGCTCGTCACAACAGTATTCATTTTCAAATACTTCCTTTCTTAACTCTTTAATATAAAAATTAGTTGACTAATTTACATAAATTAAGAAAATTAATTATTTATAATAAATAAGTATTTTCTTTTTTAAAGCAGTCTTGTTAATTAAATGTATTAGTTAGAACTGTTATTATTATAAAAATTATCGTTAAAAAAAATAAAATAAAGAACAAAGTGGATTGAGATTTTATATTTATGACTAAAATAAAAATTAAATGAGCTCTTATACTAAGACCTCAAAATAGCATTATTGCATAATATGTGCAGCGTATATAGATTTTTGTCTATCTATATCTACTATTCATTTTTTATTTATAGTAAAATTATATTGGACGCAATGTTTATTGCATTGGATATCCGTATGATACAAGTAATATGTGTCGGGAGTAAACAATGCGGCTTATTCTCTGTCCTAGACAGTTTCCTTTATTATAGTTCTTGTTTTGCTGGTCAGACTTGAAAACGATCCTTCCTGCCTTTTGTCAGTGAACGTTTTGCGCTGGACAGTAACGGCTAACCGCTTCCTCATCTCTCGCCATGTATCACTTTCATGTGCTGTTCAAGTTCAAATCTCATCTTAATTATTGATGTAAAATTACAAGTTTGTTGGCCAACAATGCATAATAATGACATTAATTAAACATATGGAAAAAATCGAGCACAGAGATATGGACAGAACGTGAAGGAACAGGGGCTTAATTTCTTCGCAGCCATACACCGATCCATCGAAGCCCGTCAAATCATCGGGTAAAGTTGGACGGCAGCGTGTGCTTTCCGGTTTCAGACGATTGCGCCACGCCACCCCCTTCGGCTCCGACTACAATGAACAGTCTCGTTATTGGCCGCACCCCCCAAAATGATTGAGATTTTTTTTGCTGCTCCTGATTTTTGAACTCTTCATCTAAAAATGATCACATTTTTTCAATCATTATGTTTAAAAAGATGGTCGTACACATTCTTCATCTTCATGGCACACACTGCACTTGATGCACAGACATATAATTCATCATGTTTCGATGTCTAAGCGTTTATTTTGTGAATATTTTTTGTGGATGAGATATAGTTAGCTTGATTAGATGGGACAGATTCTTGTATAAAATATTGACTGGCAAATAAAAACGTTAGTATGATGCGTGGCCATTGAGAATTATGAATGGTTCAAGAGAATCTACCGACGGCGTTTAATTGTGGCGTGCATGGGTGTGGTAGCAAAACGACAAGCAAGCTCATAGACTTTAAGCTCCCAGTCACACAACCTTATCCGACCACGCGGGAGATTCTGTATGATTTAGTCCTCTTTGTATCTTGCCAGAGATTAACCTCTTAGTCGGTGTGTTAAGCCATCACAACATACTATCACTCACAAATAATGAAAAACCAAAGTCCAATAGGATCTCCGCCTCCACTCTCATTTCGGCGATGGCTCTAGTTACCTTTGACATCTCATATAAATTAGCCACACAGATCTCATTTGAATGGTTTCAGTTTGGGGTTTTTTATTTTCTGAGTTGATATTTTTGGAGAAAAAGGAAACGAATTTAAATAATGAGAATAAAAAGCACAAAATATGGATGGACATCCAAATTTGAGATAAGCATCCCATGGTAGGCAAACGGATGAAAGGCGCATTTAAACCACGTGGAAGACCTGGATACATAAACGGAGGTGTTTTGAAATTGAGAAAATTGACTTTGGGGATTTACTTGCGACATGCTCCCGTAGAATGTGTCAAGTAAGTGTATCGGTTATATCATCATCATTATTCAATAAAGGCACAAAAGATTTAACATCGGTTGAGGTCACTGTGGGGCCAGCTTTGATCCCATGTATGGAGGGTCCAACGTTAATTACTGAGGACCATTACCCAAAAAATAAAATAAAATAAAAACTAAAGATAGAGTGCAAAGTGCATTCATGTCTTGTCCGTTACATTCGGGAATTGAACCTCAACAGTCAACAGTCAACACGCACGTGGTAACATGGCGGTCCGTTCTTCCTTCTGAGACGTCATCATCTTTGGTGGGCCTAACCTTGATATTGGGCCATGATCTCATTGGCCCATATCCCATCTCAGTCTGTCAGAAATGTTGTCTTTTTAATAATTGCCTCCCGTGTGGCTGATGCAAAAGGGTAAACGGATTTCAATTTCGATGCCCAAATAACTAATCGTGCATTATTTGTTAAATTACTGAAGTCATTATTAAAGTAGTATTTTATTTACCTCATTTGAGATGCAAAGATTAAATAAATAACATGCATGAGGCGGGGGCGTTGCATTGGTGGGGTGATGGGCTTGTTTGGGATAATGATAAAAAATATTTATAAGCATATTTTGTGTTAGTTTAGATAAAACTCTTCTCACGTATTTATCTTGTATTCTGTAAATCATGATTCAAAAATTATTTATAAATTATTCTAGACAGGGCCGATATACATTATACATATATGTGTGTGTGTGGGTGTCGGGCAAAAACTAGATAAAGACAGATACATTTGCTGAATTACAGTGTCGAGTTTTTAATTGCGAAGAGCCGGGTCAGAAGTTGATGTGCAAAAATAGTCTTCACCGTGGACTGATGATAATAGAGCGCACACATGCGTTTATGAAGGTGAGAAGATGAACTGTAAAAATATTGCGCAGGGACCTGTGAAAAACCGGACCCTCTACGTACGCGTGCATACGCAGAGATATAAATGACACGCGTTAATAGAATGCCATTCATCCTTTTCTTTGACGATCATCAAAAAGGAATTAAAAAGTTAGCCAACATTCTAAACGTACATAGAAGACAGCTGAGTTTCACTCTCACTTAGATTCAAGTCTTTGTTGATTAAATGTCCGAAGAAGCATAGTCTTTTCAGGGTCTCTTCTTCAATCTTTCAACGTACGTGGTTTTTCTCTATGGATAGAAACATACTTTTTTTAACCTGCTGTTTGCGACGTGGCCGGACTGTCGGAGTGATAACGCTCTCGAGCTCAGCGAATAGAAGAGCACAACAAACCAAGCCAAATTTGGATAACTAGTGTATTAGGAAGTACAGCAATAAATCTGATCATTGCCCAACTAGCTTATTGAGAAGTAAAGTTCTTAATGCGAACTTGCAGAGATACATATTCTGGTTTATATGATGTTTAAGCCAAAGCATGAATCTTAACCGGAAAGCCGCCCTTCATCTTGGAGGTCAAGAAGGAAACGAACTGTGGTTCCACCTCCTGCGCCATTGCCGGGACCACCCTAAATCTCGTCACAATCGCACCCACCACCTTCTTCATCTGCAGGTACGCCATTTCCTTCCCCAAGCATATTCTTGGTCCCGCCTGAAACACTGGATAGCTGTACGAATCTCTCGCCACGTACCTCCATGTCTCCGCATCACCGTTTCCTTCTCTCTCTAACCATCTCTCCGGCTTATATTCTGCCCAGTCGTCGCCCCACAGCTTCTCCATTCTTCCCATGGCGTACACGTGATACGTCACCATCATCCCTTTCCTTACCATAGTTCCGTCCGGCAAAACGTCGTCGGCCATTACTTCTTTTGCGTCCATCGGCACTGGCGGGTATAACCTCATGCTCTCGCTTAATGCTGCGTGTGTGTATATCATATCTTTCACTTCATCGTACAAAGGGGACTCCGACTTTTCTCTTGCTTCATTCACAATCTTCTTCTCCACTTCTGGGTTCTTCGAAAGGAGCCAGAAAAACCATGTTAGAGCAGCAGAAGTGGTGTCCTTGCCGGCCAGTATGAAGCTAATGACTATATCCGCAACGAATTCCTCGTCCGAATGCCCCGAACTCAAGAACCGTGACAACATATCGGCAGATTCAAGGGAAGCCCCCTTGGCAAGCTCTCGTTTCTTCTCTCTAATTATGTTCTTAGCGAATTCACGCACTTCGGAAACTGCCTCTCGAAGTCTTCTTTCGGATCCAATGTTGAGATGCTTCTGTATTTTCCAGATTAAGGGAAGCGCGTAACTGCTGGACCTTCTGCTGCTGATCTCGGTGGCATCGTCGAAAGCTTTGGCGAACTTGCTCGGACCCAATGACTGCGTCAGGTACTCCGGATCGAACCCGAAAGCGATTTTGCAAATGTTATCGAATGCGAATCGTTGGAGGATGTCTTGTAAATCAAGGACTTGTTTTTGGGCCGCCGCCATGGTGAGAATGGGAATGAGGCGATCGTTGAGCTCGGTCTCCACTACGTTCTCGACGAATTTACGCAGAGACCTGGTGTTGAATTCATGGCTCGCGACTTGCCTTTGGAATTTCCAGTTGTCGCCGTCCGTGTTGAAGATTCCGTTGCCCAGAAAGTCTTTCAGCGTTTCGCGAAAGGCATGGCCTTTTTGATAAACTGGGAAACGGCTCTTGAGAATGTGTTGTACGACGGCGGGATTGGCGGTAATGACGTTCCGCTGGCCCAGGAAGCGGCGGAGGATGTATGTGTTAGCTGGAGATATGAGGACAATATCGGAGAGCCACTGGATACGACGGTCAGAGTTTGCCACGACATCTAAATAGGAACCAATTAGAGGGTATGATTTCGGGACGACCTTCTTGTGGCTGTTCTTCTTGGTGTTAGCAGTAGCACCAGAAGAAGCTTTCGCTAGGATAAAGAAAATGACGGGGAGACAAAAGAAGAAGAGGAAGGAAGCCAGGAGTTGTATAGTCATGTTGAACATTGAGCGGTTATGGCTGGTGCTAATTAGGAGCAAAGGAAATGATAATGTGGATCAGTTTGAGGGAGATGTGTAGTAATTTGCTTCGGTGCATAAATAAAGGAATCATGCTTTGATATTTATAGATGGGTTTGGTTGAAGGTAATGATGATTCAGTATGAAGCAAAGATCAAACAGGGATGTGTTTTCAGAAATGTGAAAGCCCTGAAACCAAAAGTTTTTTTATCTGCTTCGAGAAGTAAAGCTAAACGTGTTTTTCTGGCTTCCAGAACAAAAGCAGGAAAATAGAAGTTGTAAATAAAGTGACGTCGCAGGTGAGCAAAACCAGTCAAACTTGAGATGCGGAAGTATGGAGGACGCGGCTTAATCATTAATTAGTACATCGGGCGAACTTGTTGACACGCTGGCATCAGTTCATCAATGTCTCCAATCATTCTGACGACTCTGCTGATGTCAATAGGTCTTTTGTTAAATTAATAAAGGGGAAATTGCAAAAAAAGACCTTGGAATTGTAAAAACGCAGATAGGGATCCTTGACAACTTCACTTTGGGTTTTGACAAGAATAATATGCCCTGAAGTTGTCAAAACCCAAAGTGAAGTTGTCAAGAGTCCCTATCTGCGTTTTTGCAATTCCAAGGTCTTTTTTTACAATTTTCCCATTAATAAATGTGTTTTGAATTTTTTTAAAAATATTTTTGTATAGTATTAAATTTTATATCAACTACTACCTCCAATCCTAATTATAAGAGCCAGTTGACTAATTTGAGGAGATTAAGAAAGTAAGTTGAGTTAGTTATTTGTCCTGAATAAGTGTTGTCTTTCTTAAAATATCCTTGCTAATTAAATGTGTTGACTAGAACTATTATTATTATTAGAAAGGCTACTTTGAAAAAAAAATGTATAAATATGAGAGACAAAGTGAATTGGAGTCTTATATTTAGGATAAACATAAAAGTCAAACAGGGTCTTATATTAAGGACAAGAGGTAGTATAATTTATATAAATTACTTTAAAAATAAATATTAAAAATAAAATGAATTAAAATTTTATATTTAGTTACAAATTTTTTTTTTTGGGGGTTGCTAGACAATAGCTGGTCGCGAATATGGGGAAATCCGTCTTTGATTTCATCTCCGTCTCTTGAAAAGTGTCTTTGTTTGGTGTGACCTTTACCGCTGGAGTTAAAGGTTGTGCGCATCACGATAACCAAAGCAAATAAAAAGTTGGATTATTTGTCCACACGATTCTTCGGTCAAAGATGATCATCTCACTACTGTTCTAGTGTTGGGAAAATTCAGGTACTTACCTTAATATACATGCATAGTGCTTATTTTCAAATAATTCACGAGGTACCTATATTTTGTTAATCCATGATCTAGGGTTAATTTTAGCTGTCATGTAGTCGACATAATACTGTACCATATACATTTAGTGAATAGCGACACCATTCAATTTTTCACATTGCTTTTGTTCAAACAATTATCTGAACTTATAGATATTGAAAAATTGAGAGAAAAAGCTCGAATATGTAAGCTTTCTTTCTTTTTCTTTCTTTTTAAATGGAATTATCATTCTAAGAATAGTATGAATAAAATACGATGTAGTTATACATCATCTTGTCTAACCAATGTGCTATAATTATTAGGCAATCTCTGCCTCACCCTCCTTCCACTTTCCTTTTTCTGTCTTTCCTTTTCTTAAAAAACGACCGTATTAATTTACAGACTATTTTTGGCAAAATTGGGGCTGTCCTCCCTTGTAACCACCGCTGGGGCAACTGGTGAACTCAGTCAGCTAGGGCTCCCGATTTGCAAAGCAAGTGATTTGCACCACATGGACTTACAGAAATATCATCAGCTCACCCACATTCCATTAACATGAATCCATTATAGCCCAAGTTTACTGCTACTATTTTGTGCTTATAGGAACTGTTCGATGTCGGGGCAAAGATCTCCCTGTGCTCGAAGCCATTCTGACTGATTGTTTCTTAACAAATGGTAGGCAAAACCAAGAAAAAATAACAAACATTAATGGTCATCCTTGTCCAATCACTGCAAGAGATTTACTACGACTCTTTCTCTGTCAACATCCCTATCTTGATACATCTGCAAAGCGGACAATATCAGTTATGCCGACAAAATGTTTTTAGAATATCAATAACAGAATCAATTGAATGCTACAGATGATGCCCCCTGTGGCTAATGAAGATGAAGTTCAATTATATCATTAAAAATATCATTAAAAACCCAAATTATTTCTCTGGAGCTTACCATCTTATTCTAGAGCCAAGTTTCCGTAGCTCGTGCAATTGATGAGCTATGTCTCGAATAAATTGTAGTCCATCATTGTCATCTCGAAGTGAATGCAATATATGCTCTAGCAGATCATGATCAGCTTCAAGTGCTTCCAACCGTTCGTTAAGGTCTGATATTTCATTTTCAATAGAAACCAAATCAGCATTTTTCCTTTGCATGGAATTTTTTTGCCCAACAGATACTGAATGGTTGTTTTCTTCACATGGAGAACAGATCTCACTCTTTGAAGCCACTGGGCCATCTTGATCTGTAATACTTCCGTTAGAAGTCTTGTAATCTTCCTTTATAGACGACAAGACATTATGATCTTTTTGACTGTCTAATCGAGGTCCTTCACCATTGGAAGATCCTTGCTGATGATCAGATTCACTTTCTTCAAAGTTTTCGGGTCTATCACTCGGCATATTGAAAGAAATACCGTTGCCAGAAATTTGACGAAGCTTCTTTTCCAAGCTACTCAAACAATTGGAAATGTACAGCTTTTCCTCTTCAAATTCTAATGAGGTTTCATGAGCCACCGATTCATCAGTGACTTGAGATAACTCGGCCAAATTTGAATTAGAAGATATGGTGATGGGAGGTACATTAAAATTTTGTACCGTGATGTCCTTTCCTTTCAAATCACATCTTTCCTTCTGCATATCATGGCCCACAGGTTCATCTTCCATGTTCAACCTATAAAATTCCAATTCTGCTTCTAAATCTTGTATTTCTTTCTCTTTCTCTGCCAGTAGATCATAAGCTTTTTCCAATTCCTCTCCATCATATTCTGCTTGCTCATCCATCATTCTCAAGTATTGAAGGGCTTCCATATGGAGCACCGCCTTCTCCTCCTGCAACCTGGTGATCATAGCCATAGATTGATTTGCAGCAATTGCAGAAGCATTTCTTTCTTCCTCCAGCTCCTTATATAAAGCACTGATGCATTTCTTGTCATGCTCAACCTGTCGCTTTAAATTATCAACTATCGACTCCCCTTCAATTTCACTGACACTGCATCCTTCGAGAGATTCAACAACAGACACTATTGAAGTGGCCTTCTGAAGTTCTTGAATTCCATTGGAGCTTGAAGTATCGGTTTGCATCTCAAGGGCATTAACATAGTTAGTGGTGGGAACAACTGATGACATACTGGATCCACGGGGAGAAGAATTAGGTGAATGTAATTGCTTCTGTTCTTCTGCATTAACTTCAGTTGGATTTCGATCTTCGTGGACCAAACTAGGTGCCTCTCTTTCCTCATTTTTGATAGGGAGCTCATTAACATTACTTGACTCATCATTCCTACGACTTGAAAACGCTGAGTCACTTCCACATGGCGCAGTTTCAGTGGATGTACGTGCAATTGTAGCTGTTTTCCTCTAAGGTTTCCTCAATATTGCTTGTGTATCATCAGCATCACCTGGAAAAGTTTCAAAATGGAAATGTCAGACATTTTAGATCTGCATTCATATAGCAAAATATATGAATTGCAAAGCATAAAAGGATTACTCTTTTGTGATGTGCCAGCCATTGAATGAGTAGTATCCGAAGTTACAAGCTCAGACAGTGCAGCAGGGAGAGAATTCTGAGAACGACAAGTAATCTTACTCCCTTCTGGATCTTGGCTAGAAGCACCCACAACATCAGATGACGGTGAAACCTCATTTAGTGAAATGAGCTCAGGTAGTTCGGAAGTCAACGACTCTTGATTGGGCTGTTGCCATTTAATTTCTCCAAAACCATAGTCATTAACAGCATCAGAAACCGTGGAGTTGACATCAGAGCCACTGCTGACGTTCGGCTTCACACATGGAAATAAAATCAAAGGCTCAGTTTCAAAGGAAACACCGTGTGGCCTTGTAGGATTTGAATCACTTGGAAGGCATTTTGATGGAGCTGCTGCTGTAAATTGGGGCATGAGATTGTTCCTAGCTTCAATGTGTTCATGATTTCGACTACCAATATCTTCATCGTCAGAAAAGGCGACCTCAGATTCAGAATCAGAGGCGAGTTTCACCTCGGTGTATTCGGCATAATTGGACATCGAATCAGAAATGCACCTTCCTAAGCAAGAAGGTTTATCGCATATCTTCTTGAGGTTGCTGTTGTGGTGGTTTCGGCAGTTTTTCCTGTATATATCTGGCAAATGAAAGTCTGGCTTGAAAACAGTTATCCTGGGAGATTTCAGCAGGAGCGATCTTTGAGAACTCTGCATTGAGTTCCAAAACTTACCACAACAGCTACATGGCTTTAAGCCCAAAGAAGTGGCAAACATATCTCTGGTGGGCAATGAACTTTGAGATCCATGATTACCAAGAGCTGTTCCCAGTTTACCCAGCAATAGCCTATGAGTTTTGGAGTGGGTTTTATCGTCAGGGGCCAACGACATGAGGCAATCATCACACATCCCATGACCATCTGAAACCTTATCATGAATATGGCATGATACCAGAGATGATATTTGTGATCTATGATCGCCGCAAAGTAGATTTTGATGCCATTCTAGTTTCTGCTTTTCACCACTTATGACATGATCAATTCTGGAGCACAACACACAAGGGGTTTGCAGATCGCAGTATCTTGCAAATTTCGTCGACAGATATGATATAACGGCATTGAAAAGAAGAAGAAATAGCAAAAACCACTCACAAGCTGCAGATGTGAGAACGGTAGAAAAGCCCTGTATCCTTTGTGTTTTCACAAATGTGGTTCCACTGCTTGCCATATCCACCATATAGTAGATCCAGAAATCCACGAGATCCACGCCAGGTCAAGCCACTAGTTAAAAGCCAGCCTCTCAATAATTCAAAGCCAAAAACTATATCCCGATGATTGATGTGGATCGTGGCATGAAAATCAGAATGAGCCAGGGCTATATGGCCAGAAGAACGTAACGAACATTCGGAATGGTATTAAAATCCAAGCCAATGCATGCAATTAATGAGTACGTTCTGCTGAACAATGATTTTTTTTTTAAAAAAAAGAACTAAACGTCAGAGATGATAAAACTCCAGGGGAAAAAAAAAAGAACGGAGGAGATGATAAAACTTACTCCTCAAACAAATCAATAAAACTATGGTGATCCATATTAAATACGTAATCATGAGTACACACCCAAGATCATATCATCAATTGGGGGCCAAACACAATGAGTTCAAGAATCCGAATTCTTCTATTCATAGATATAAGAAACAAATGAGGTGAGATATGGAGACGAACAAACTGCTGGAAAATTAATGACCGGAGAGACTTGTGTGCCAAGCAGAAAGGACGATAGAAAATTTCCAATGATCGAGTTTTGATCGAGTTTTAAAAGACACTGAATACGTCAAGGGGTCAATAAATCAAACATAATGCCGATCTCAATTACAATGTGGACTGGACCCAAGCAAATTGTTTTGGAAATCACAGATGACATATTATTATTCATGGAGTTCATGCATATCTGCATCGGAGACATAGCGAAACGCACGTACCTGTTCTGCAGCTTATGAGAAAGAGGAAGAAGAGGGAGAGATCAAAATTACGAGGAAAGATGGTGAAGAATTTCTCTCTTCTATTTTACTTTTCTTCAGAAAAATAGGAAATAAAATAAGAATAATCCTGAACCGAAACGGGGAAAAAAAAATAAAATAATGAAATTACAATTACAAATAAATGAAAAACAAAAAATAAGGCACGGCTTTGTAAGTAATGCTGGTTCTTCACTGATTTGGGGGGGGGGGGGGGGGAAGAGCGACCGTTGAAATCAACGGCTCTTGCCTTAGTTTGGTTATGCTCGCATAGGGTAAACCTCAGCCTCTATAAATTTTATCAAAATCTTCGTTGCACCTCAGCCTCTATAAATTTTATCAAAAATCTTCGTTGCTAGTAAGAGGATCAGCTACGATATTCCATTATGTAATAAAGGTAGATTCTTTTTAGCGCAGCAATGGCTCCTGACAAAACATATATACAAATATGAAACAAGGGCTCTCTATAAACGGAAATGGAAAACAAAAACAAAGAGAGAGAGACTCAGCTTTGGAAAAGCCAACGATTAATACGTAATGACCAAACAAACCTTTTCTCCATGTTCCTTATGTCTTTCCAGGTTTGCTCGTTGCTGGTTCATGCGTGCACGTAGATGTACGTCGCTGAACAACGGCATCAGATAAATAGGTATTTGTTCTCTTCGTGTGTTTATTCGTTGCTTTGGATGTTAATATCTGTCAATGTTCTTTTATGACTCAGTGCTCGCTGCACCAAAGAATTAAAATTATACGACTTGGGAGAGGAAATCGTTTTCAATGTTGCTTTAGGGATGAGGGCAGAGTTTATTCTTTATTCAGGCTATTATGCTACCAATTCACTCCAATAATTCTGGTTAACTGCTGGCTTGGGACGCTTTCAAGATTACCAACATAGAGCTAGAACCTAGACAGGTCGAGTCCATGAATCCCCCTCTACATTTTTATATTCATAATAAAGTCATTTCGGAAAAAAGTATTTAATGATAAAATTTTAATTATAATCTCAAAATTTACCTTTCTAAAGTAATTATATTGAAGATTGCAGCAACGTATTATTTTCTTAATAACTTTTCTCTCATTAATTATTGTTTGACTGGCAGAGCAAAAATATCAACATTTTTTCCCTACAAAATTAGAAAAAAAAAATGGCGTCAACTAGCATACCATGTATTTTAATGTGAGATTAATTTTCTTTAGACATAAGTATAGCTTTATAATTTAATGGGTTAAGGGGCGTCCAGCACCCCGAACTATTTATTAGGTGGGTCCAGTGGCCTAAAGTAATTTTGGGTGCATCCAGTGTCCTAAACTAATTAAAATGGTATGTCCATATTCTAAGCTACCCCCTCTACATTTTTATATTCATAATCACGTCATTTCGGAAAAAAGTATTTAATGATAAAATTTTAATTATAATCTCAAAATTTACCTTTCTAAAGTAATTATAATTTGAAGATTGCAGCAACGTATTATTTTCTTAATAACTTTTCTCTCATTAATTATTGTTTGACTGGCAGAGCAAAAATATCAACATTTTTTCCCTACAAAATTAGAAAAAAAAATGGCGTCAACTAGCATACCATGTATTTTAATGTGAGATTAATTTTCTTTAGACATAAGTATAGCTTTATAATTTAATGGGTTAAGGGGCGTCCAGCACCCCGAACTATTTATTTAGGTGGGTCCAGTGGCCTAAAGTAATTTTGGGTGCATCCAGTGTCCTAAACTAATTAAAATGGTATGTCCATATTCTAAGCTAACATAAATGTTATGTTTAACCGTTACTTTCCTGACGACTAACTTAAAGTTGATCCCAGATATTCTACATGATAGACACATGGACACCCGATGTGTATTATTCTTACTCAAAAGTCAATTTATTTAGAAGAAGAGGAAGGAAATAAATTCAATTTTGAGTAAGAATAATACACATCAAATGTTCATATGTCTACCATTTAGAATATCTGGGGTCAACTTTAAACTGAATCAGGAAATTAACAGTTAAACATAACATTTCTGTTAGCCTGGGATATGGACGCACCATTTTAATTAGTTTAGGACACTGGATGCACCCAAAATTATTTTAGGCCACCGGACGCACTTGAGTAAATAGTTCGGGGTGCTGGGCGCACCTTAACCCTAATTTAATTTATGCAGTAATTTTCTTAACTTTTACGCATAATATTAAATGGACACTTTTTCTAGTAATGCCTATGGGGGCAAAAAAAATGCATATAATTTATATATAGTCCATATATATATCTGTATAAAATTAACTGGAGAATCAACTTAATTACGCAATTATTCAAGGAGAAAGTAATAGGAGGTGATAACGGGTCTAACACATCAGCTAATATGGTCATCGGATGAATATCGCTGGGCTTCTCCGTCTCGTTTCTGCGAATGGCAAATTTAATCTGTTTATGTTTCTGAGGTCGCCTCCCTCCTTTCCGCTAGCCTCACCGGGATATCGTAACGCGTTATTGGCTTGGCTGAATGCATCTCCATCCACAAGCCCTCAAAACCTCCATTGCCTCCCATGGACCTTCCTCACCCGCCACATGTCGTCGAAACCCTTCCCTGATTTCCCCTTTCTCTCGCCCCCACTCCGTTTTCGCTCGCAACGGCGTCCAAATCTCTCTGCCCAGACTCTTCTCTGCCTCAATCGCCTCTGTTCCCTACGCTACCGAAAACGATTGGAAGTTGAGGAGCTCTGTGATCAAGGATAACGATGTTGCGACTCTGGGGAACCTGTGTGTCGACATTGTGCTCAACGTCCCTCAGTTGCCGCCTCCCTCCGTCGAGGAACGCATGGCATTCATGAAACAGTTGTCGGCTTCTCCACCTGACAAGGTATCTTCTCCCGCTGGCACCTTCCCTCAAATTCATCTTATATTTGTTTTATACTGCAATTATGTGCTATCGACTCTACCTTATCCAGTTAAAGTTGTCAAATCAAAATCTACTTTGGAAAAAAAAAAAAAAAGAAATTCTGAAGCTTTCATTTTATGTATGTCTTTTATACTCCTGTTTTATTTGTTACTAAGTAAGCATGGTGTCTGGGTGACTTCATTTCTGTGTAAAGTATGATTTTTTTTAACTATCCATCTCCAACAAAGTATATGGTTTGCTCCATTTGTTCAATATAAACGAGTGGGCGGGGACTTGGAAATTTAGTTCGTTGCTGAAGCTACCGGTGCGCGAGGATAGAAATTTCAATTCAACTCCTTGATGATCCACTAACCCCCTCTCTTGCCTCTTATTTTTAGCTTGATCAAAGCCAGTTTTCATGCAAATGTTGTAGAGATGCTTGTTAAAGGCAAGTTTGATCAGTCTTCTGATTATGCTGATTATAGTGGATTTTCTTGTGGTTTGTTGATATGTATGAAACAACAAACATTGCGAAGAAAGCATCTCTTTTTAAAAGTGAATTAATTAGGGGAATAAGAAGCAAAAACATTCTCCAGGAGAAGCTGCAGTGTACCCGAGTGGTTATGCCTATTCTGTGTTGAATAGAAGAGTTCCAAATTTACTGAACATTGCGATCATTCTAACTCCTGTTTACTGGTTGACATCTGTTGTCTTTTAAGCTTATCTCTGAATACACATAACACAAACGACGGGAAATTAGATTTGCGATGCCCATGAGTTCGGAACATATTTTTTACATCGATTATTTTAAGCACCATGGAACATATTATTTACATCAAAAGTCTTTAGTTTTATAATCACACAATGAGAATGCATTAAAAACAATATCTTTAGCTTTTTAATGTATTGGTTAATGTGAAGGGCTAATGCATTCTCTCATTGTTTTGATATCTTTTGTTTCATCTTGGACTCTATGGTTTTCCATCTAGAAATACTGGGAAGCTGGCGGGAACTGCAATATGGCTATAGCAGCATCAAGACTGGGACTTAGCTGCATTGCAATTGGTCATGTGGGCAATGAGGTATATGGGAAGTTTTTGCTTGATGTGCTTGATGATGAGGGCATTAGGATGGTACAAATGAGTGATAACGCTGATGTTGCCAGCGTCGCCGGTGCCTCACATGAAACACTTTTATGCTGGGTTCTTGTTGATCCTTTACAAAAACACGGTTTTTGTAGGTAACATTTTATATTGAAGTTGTATGTCACCTAATAGTTGTCACTAATTTGTTCTCATATTTGCCTTACAAATACCTTAACAAGCATGCTTTCTTTGCTAGTCCGGCTGATTTTAGCAAGGAGCCTGCATTTCATTGGATGAAGCAATTGTCCACAGAAGTAAAGGCGGCTATTAAAAAGTCAAAAGTCTTATTTTGTAATGGATATGGCTTCGATGAGCTCTCTCCTGGTTTACTAATCTCGGCAGTGGAATGTGCTGTTGAAGCTGGCACAGCAATCTTCTTTGATCCTGGGCCACGTGGGAGGAGTCTTTCAACTGGGACATCAGAAGAACAAAGAGCACTTCACCACTTTCTGAGGATGAGTGATGTTCTTCTTCTAACTTCTGACGAGGTTTCATTTCTAGCTGCTTTTAGATAGCTTTTACCTAGCTAATTTTCTAGTTTCTTATGAGGCATTTTCTGTTCTGCATTTCCTATTACTGGGAGGGTGAGAACTTTTACCTGAGTAGTGGCTATGAATTGATTTCCATGTAATGCCACTTTATTCAAGCTTATTTTGAACTGGTTGCTCCCTGCTTTGTATCTTCTCAACACGTGAAAAATTGAAAAAATTTATGGACTAGATTTACTTGCTACGGTTGCATTTAACTACATATTTGGTGTTACTGTATGATGCGACAGGCTGAATCTTTAACTGGCATAGGAAATCCAATATTAGCAGGGCAAGAGTTGCTTGAAAGAGGGATCCGCACAAAATGGGTGATTGTGAAAATAGGTTCCAGAGGATCACTCCTAATATCTAAGTCGAGTATAGCTTGTGCGCCTGCATTCAAGGTATGATCTTCTCATTTTGGGTTTCTGTTAAAATGCTATTTCCATGAAACTAATTTTGTGAAGAAAAAATTGTATTTTTTTAAATAACTGTATGACCAAATATACCCAACTAAATGGTTTGCATGGACCTCTAATTTCTGCTCCTTCACCAATTTGTCTTGTGCTGAAAGATCCTTTTAAATAAATCAAACATTACATGCAAATGCAAACATGGGAAAATCATGCCCATTATTGATTCTGATATGCTTCAAGTATAACATATCTTAATGTGTACAATTTATTTTGTTTCCCTCTCAATAACTTTAAGTAAATTCATGTCTTCTGATGTTTTTCTTTTTGGCCTTTGAGAGTCCTTTTTTTATGTTTATATATATAGATATTATATTTATTCTCTTTAGCTTTCTCTATCTTGGTGCAAACTAATTGGATTTTAAAAATGTTATCAGGCCAATGTTATTGACACCGTTGGATGTGGGGACAGTTTTGTAGCTCCCATTGCATACGGTTTTATAAATAAGATGCCGATGGTTAATACGTTAGCAATAGCAAATGCAGTGGGCGCTGCCACTGCAATGGGTTGTGGAGCTGGTAGGAATGTAGCTACACTGGATAAAGTTACAGATATATTGCGATCATCAAACCTTAACGTGGATGATGAATTTTGGAATGACCTACTTGAAAAGAACGTGGATGCTCGGGAAATAGTATTTCTGTCAAATGATGTGGTCATCGGAAAAAGAAATCAGCTCAAACATGTCTCCTTCAATAAGGTTGCCTCTGAATTGTTGCCCAGGTTCAAATTTCCCCAGCTGGAGGAGAAAGTGCTTTCTTGACAGATTTTTGGATGAAATCCATTGAAATTAAAAGCGATTCAATTCCCCCCTGATTATCAGAGCGCTTTCTGCTTTCACTTCATTTTAGCACAAGCCCTGCAGTGAGTTATTATTGCAGAAGAGTTCATCCTCCGTCTTGGTTGCGTTGGAATGATTGTTGAAAAGGCACTGCATTGAGGAAAAGTATACGGAATCCCGTGGTTAGCTGCTTATCGACTATTTTAACTGATCGCTGCATTTGAAAACGGAGCGATACGATATTGCTCTGATATCCAATACCCTTTAATAATGTTTTGGGCCGAAATTCTAACACCTTTGACAGATCCTAATTTTTCACCACTGCGGAGGATCCAAGCTTAGACATGGATTCCTCCCCACCCGGGGCAACTGCATATCAGTGTATCGTGAAAAATTATTGGCGGTGCAGAGGAAAAATTTTGTTTTTATGGCTTTGAATATCTTGAATAGGGATTATGAAATTCATCTTCGTGATTTAGCGTATATTCACGAGTAAGATTTGTCTAATTTTGAGTCATATGTGTTGGGCTAGAGGGTATTGTCTTTGAGTTCATGGTCGTATCGACCGCCGAAACTTCATTCGACTTTTAGTTTGGTGTAAATACGTTTTTCAGTGATTTTTTTTGTCTAAAATTTCTATACTGCATTGGAATGGAAAAGATTATATATCAGTTATCCTAGAGAGCCCCCCCCCCCCTTCTTTTCCTTTTTTAACTTAAAAATTTTCTCATTTTCGCATTGGATAACCTGTTGGATTTCCCCCCGTCCCCGTTAACATAGTCTCTTCCAAGTATTCAACCGAAAAAAAATCTTTAAACGGGAAAAAAAAACTCATAAAACTATAGTCAAGCTATAAAATTGCAAAAGAAAATTTTGAACAGCTTTTTTAAATGAAGAAAATAGATCGCTGCTAAATACATAATTGGGGGTATAGGGGTTGGGTTTAGGAGGATATGCAAACATGTAATTTAATTACTGCTGACTCGACATGGATTAACATGGATCTCAAGTTTTTTTTTAATACATTTTAAAAAATTTTAAATATAGAATTAACATATGCTGCTTTTTAAATATTAAAAAGAAGTGTTGACAAGCTATTTGACTCTGTTGCACGCAAATTTAAATTTTCATTGTTATTATCGCTGTTAATATGCAAGATTCGGGGCAAGAATAGCCAAAAGTCTTATATGGATAAATATATTATAGTGCTCTTGCCCTTCGCTCCAGCTGTGTGTTGAATTAATTGGAAACGCAAACTCTGATCAGACAAAGCCATCTCAAACGCAAGCTCGAAGTTTCCGTGCAGAATGTGGAGCTTTTCAATTGGCTTTTTATCATAAAAGTTAAATGCCGCAAATCAGCATCGTTCTTATAACAGAGTTTGGAATTGTTGGGATCTGCAATTTAAAGTCAAAGACAAGCATATGAAATTGCGATCTAAGTTAAATATCAGAGCAACTTGCTGTCTTTTGCTGTTTTTTAAGTGAACAGACATAAAAAAAGTCCTGAGTTAATGCCGACGCAACGACTTTGTTTGGCCTGAAAAGAAACCAAGAAGCAAATGAACGTAGAAGAACAAAAGCCCATAGTCCTCAGACACTTAATAGCTTCTTCTTGTAGCATCCGAAGATTGGCTTGTGAAAGGTGGTTGTTATGGCACATTTTATTCCTCAGAGTGTAATTTACCAGCAAAGAAAGCATTATTGATGCTTTCAATGATGCTCACCCCGACCAGAAGACACTTTTTCAAGGAGAACATAGTTGGAGACGTGGAAACAGAGTGCTGTACTGAAGGAATTTTGACTCTTAGGTTGGTTTACAGCAAAAAAAATTTAAAAAAATAGCATAGAGGTCATGATTATCTGTCTTTTTCTTCTGGGCTTGCTTACTGCAAGATTTATCCGTTGCTCTTGGAAGTTTTATCACGGAAGCTTTATTCTGCCAGCATTTCCGGACCTATGCAGCCCCCTCAAAAGCTCATTTTGACCTACAAATGTTTTCCAATGTGAACCTATTTTAGGCTGTCTACTGTGTATTTTGCCTTCACATTAATTGTATATAGATTTCTGGGCCATGCATGGTTTTGTCCGTATTTCAGATAGGTTTGATTCTTGATAATGAACTGATTAATGGTGGAAATTCGCGATCCATAGGATTATGATGGTCCATATTTGCCTTAGCTGGATCTCACATGTCCTCAAACGTACTATAGGTCGAATTCTTCCTTATCTTCCTTTTTATGTGCTCAGGATGCGTCTGCACACTGTCTTCACCCATAAATCTGTCTTCACAATTTTCAATTGAGCTACAAATTTTGTTTCTAAGCTGAATTTAGTGACTTTCATCAGAAGAAACTCTATAATTTTTATAACTTTAGACAGTACCGCACATAGAGAAAAAGAGATAAGGTCGATCTGAAGTCCGAACACTGAGAATTGACTAAGATAAATCAAACTAACATGAGATCATAAACTCTTGTTTGGATAAAAAGGGTTTTTAACCATATGAAGAAAAGATAGTGACTAAATTCAAAAATATTCAAATATCCAACATAAATACAAAATGTGATAGGCTGGTCTCCTCTGTAACTAATTTGAGGTGACTGAATACTGATTAAAAAAGAAAAAGAACCCCGAACAATCTTTTCTCGTTACTTTACTAGAAGGCAACTTTACAGGATGAAAGAATTCTACTTCCCCCCCTTCCTTCTTTTGATGTGCATATAATTAACATGTCACGAAGAGGCACCACAAATTAGGGTACGGTGAGACGGCGCATTATTTGATTGTGTGTGTCTGTGCTCGCCTTCCTCTTTTTCACCGCTTATTCTCCTCTCTCATCTCACCATATATATTGTATGCTTCACACTTTCAAACGAGCTTTCTGTGTTAAAGCTTAAGGCTCAAGTTTGGCATATTGTTGCAATCCTAAAAACTGAGAAACCCAGAAACATATAGGAACCTAGATGGCCCAAAAAAAAATAGAGAGACAAGTTAAATTGCAACCTTAAAACTATTCAATATAGTTTCCCTAATTATGCATGTGCTTCGGGGCACGCTGTCTTCTTAAAATAATTGTTAGTGTTGTAATATACAAGGATCAAAAAAGTCACTCAATAACTTAAATCGTATATGTTTGTTATTATATCAATTGAAATATGTTTAAATTGATGTTTTTAATTATCTCTTATATATTCCCTCATTTTATAAAATTAAGAATAAAAGTTTTAAAAGGACAATTGAAAATAGAGGGATTGGTGGTTTAGTAGGGTTAGATTGTGAATGTGCATTGTCCAAAGTGAATAGGGTAATCCCTGTGCAAGAAAAGGAGCGTTGAAAAATGCCCAGAGAAACTGAAAAGAAAACGAAAAGGAAGAAGCGTTGAATGTAAGCGATGGAGTGGGGATAAAATAATTGACATGTACTAACGAAACGCAGAGAAAATATGAAACGGCTCAAAAATGGAAGCAGTGATTTAATTAAATTAAAAGAGAGGCCATCGTGTGAAAAGCAAAGTAGTTGTGCAAAGGCGGACTCCAAATCAAAGAATCTGCTCCCAAACTTTTCACGTCTATATATAACCCACATGAAATATCAATGCATAGCCATATCATCTCTCTCTCTCTCTCTCCCCCCTCCCCTCCCAACCCAACCCTTCCTCTGTCTCTCATATATGTTGTGGGGAATGTCGTCTGGCTCGAGATCTCTCATGCAGGAAACACATGTTACAAGCTCTTCTGAGTGATTTCGGACCAGGCTTCATTCCCCTCAGCTACATATCAGTCAACCGCAAGCACACACTATTCTCTTCTCACACACACACACACAAAACATAACCTTTCTGTGTTCCTCTCCTTCTTAACAAGAATATTCATCAGCAATATATGAGAATCCAGGTAAGTCCTCATCTCTCGTGTGCATGCTCACAAGTTTAAACAAAATGAACTGTATTAACCAGCTACTAGGGGGTGGGATTCCAACGGATGAGTTCTTGAATCTTTTGCGTAACTTGTTCATAATCATGGGATTAGGCACTGTATTAACTGACTAGTGGTTGATTAGGTTCTTTTTCGGGTAGGTTTATTGTCCTGTGGACTTGAATTGGTATAAACAATGCTGGTTCTGCCGTGCGAGCTTTGTTTGTGTTTTGTTAGGGGACAGGTTCTTCAATCTGCCCCAGAATTCATCATCACTTATCTTTTGTTCACGTCCAACTATTCGTCCCTGGTGGGTCAGGTATTTCATATTCGCTCCTTTATAGGTCAACTTTAGTATTAACAATACGAAACATCATAAATGGATTGGATTTACACGTGAAGCTCATTATTCATGTGGGTCAGATCTGCCTCGCATTGTCTTTTATTGATGGAATTGCATGCTTGCAGTGAACCATTCATGAGACGCGATCATAGAGTTCACCATGTCGCTTGCTGCATATCCTTCAGATATTGAGGAAGTTGTTTAATAAGGTAACCATTGGTGACAAATAAGAGTATTTTTGCTGCCAAAAAAAGTAGAAGTTCATCTAATCTGACGAATAACCAGAGATTGCAACGCTGCACGGCACTTCTATTAGCATATATAGAATTTATCCTCAGTTGTTATGTCTGACGTAATAAAAACTGACCAACAGACATAAATATCCAAGGACAGGTTTTGTTGAGATCATAATTATGAAGTGCATATATAATTGCTTGCATGAAGCTGGGGAATCCTAATTATATTCTAGATCCTCTTTAATTAGTATTAATAAGATAATTATAGTAGTATTAATTAGCTGAATGATTAAGTGTCCCCTGCAACTAATCCAATTATCTGGGTCTGGTTGAGAGCTTCTTGTTTCCAATGTCGGGAAAGAACAAGTAAAGAGTAACAACAGTAATTAATGTCACTCGAAACAACACAGAAGATTGCCAAACAGAGATAAGCAGTCATTAACTGCCACTTAATGACCCCAAAGGGCTGAAATTTTAACAAAATTCAGACGTGCGAATTACTATGGAATTGTGGTTTAAAGGGTCTCTGAATATAGAAGCTCATTATACTATGCCCAAATTGAATTTTGCATGTCTGAAGGCCAACATTCGAATTCTGCACTCTCACGGGACCACGAAGATTGGGAATAGGCATACTAAACAAGCCGATTCTTTAACAAAAAGATATATGAGGCCATACAAAGCAACCCGTCCGAATAAAATAATCAGTGCCAGAGCGTCCGATCAGTTTTAAGAAAAAGTATGAAAAATGTTTGAGATGTTTGTTAACCAAGTAATTTCTCTTTCTCATCAATTCTTTTGTCTCTTCCTCTGACATTCCTCAGAATTCATCAGTCATCACTGCATGTTTCAACACAGAGCCTTGTAGTCTTGACATCATCCTTTGCAGCTACAGGTACATGAGGAACATCTGAAGCATCAATATGTCCCTATGCGACAGTAATAATTGATCGGCATGCTTCACCAGTGACGGAGATAGAAATTGCTGCAGCCAACAGTGCTCCAATTCTTCTCCTTTATGGCTTTATGGTTATGCAAAGTCGGCTGAAACAGAAAACCATACAAGTTCAACACCTAGTTCGGCTCTTAGCCAAAATAGAAAAGTCCCAAATAAGCCGTTAGATATGAGGCAGAAGAAATCTAGATCTCAACCATGACGAGTGACCAAAAGATGAAAGACCAAAGGACGGCTCACACGGTCTTCGAGAGGGGAAACAGAAGAGTTTCTGTACCTTCTTTCACTTGTTTGCATTGTGTAAGTCGCCAGGAACTCAACAAATACTACTATACAATGACATAACCCCATTAGCTTATTTAAAATTTAGGCCAGACCAGATATCTCCTGCAGAAGCAAGCAAAACTCAGCTCTTAGGGACCTGTCTCCCTTAGCATGCAAAACATGTTTGGGTACGGTGTAAGTTCTTAACCAATGTCCAATAGTTTAGCATAATGCTCATACAAGTGACTGTGTGTTGATCATAATCTTCTTGGTTTAGGGCTCCCCCTGATTGCAGTAAGAAAGAGTCTATTAAATTCTCAATATAACCATCATCAAGGGAGAGAAGAGAGAGAAGCTACGATGAATCGGAAGAAAAAGAAATTGTCGGCCCAACACAGATTCAGATGTGGAGGTGGGGTAACCAGAAACAGGGCTCTGGTTGTCTTGATCCCCAAAGTTGCCATGATTGATTAATTAGAAGCAGAGGGTTCCATAGAATCAGATTCCACGATCAATTAATCATCTCTCCAAGTCAGTTCATACAATACACTGCATAAAGCTTATATACAACATGGTACCAGGCTTTTCTGGCAGCTGCAAAACCTGCCACTTCACATGCCAATTGTATCAGTGTCAGTACCATCCGCTTGGCCACCGCTTGAACCCGCTTTTCTCATACCTAACCTAGCCTGAAGCCACCATTGAGATCAATTTTCATCAACTATCAACAAGGTAGTAGCAGATAGATTTCTGGTGTTATAATCTAAACATAATTCTATTTTAGGTAGTTTGCGCTCTTTGCAGTTCGAGAGTGAGAAAAACAAGCAATGAGCCTTGGTACTGCTATTTAGGAGGTGTTTGAATGATTCAAAAACACTTTTAAAAAGCATTTTCATATAAGTTGAGATAAAACTATTTTTACGTATTTATTTTGTATATCACAAAATCATTTTTAAAATCATGGTTTAATTTTTACCTAAATACTTTTTTAATCTATGAGAAAAATGATTAGTTTCTGTTAATAGAATGTTAACTATGTTTCGGCATTAAGTCTCATGGCTATATGGATTTTTTTGGGGGAAGAATAAGAATACCCGTGAATCTTAACCTAAAAATATAGAAATTTATTGTAAGTAAGATCGAGAAAATCATTAATTTCCTTATTTGGGAGCTATTTGTGATCCTCCCTTTTTAACCTCAGATTTAATTATTTGGGTCAGCTATCTCTAACTATCACTTCCTTCGTTAGTTATCCAAATTGATGCATCCAAGAAATATAATCAACTTTCTGGGTAATTTTTTTAAAAAATAGCCAAAGAGAACACGAGTAAGGCGCCTAGAGATAGGTGGTCAAATATTCTAGTCTGGACAGAAGCCTCTGGTCCAAAAAAAAACAGAAAAAAAACGTTTCGAAGAAAAGCCCTGGAACTGGAAGGCCGGAACTCTGGAAGACAATCTTGGATCGCATCAAGTACATCCTCCTTGAATGAACACAACAAAAAAAAAAATTTCACTGTCTTGACTGTTGGGCCACCCATCAGCGAGTCACACAATATTTCATTCAATGGTTGAATCATGATATATTTCTTCGGTATTAACCATTGACAAATTTACTTTAAAATTTCAAGCTGGTGGCATTTCATTTTTCACGAATCATCTCTTCTCAAAATATTAGCAGCATTACAGCACCTTTGTCCCTTTATTTTCAAACTTTCGTAATAACCTTTAATCAGAACATTATGGCTGACAACATTAGGCGAGCCAATGACCATGACCATTACTATACATTTAGACACAGATGTGCCCTTTGCATTGTGTTGTTTTCTCAGGTATTATAAGTGATTCGTCTCTACCCATTTTCCCGCTTCACCAGCCTGTTGGCTGTTGCCCTTCACACTATTATAGAGCGCATTGTCTACAGATCTCCCACCCTTCAAAATTCTAGCTTCTCTTTGATTTTGGCAATATAAAAATTCTAGCCTCTCTTTGATTTTGGCAACATATTCCTTCAGCATCTCATTGTTGTTTCTTATTTCAGCAGCAAACCCAGTTTCTTACATTTATGGATGACACACTCTCTTGGGTGCCATTTCTTGCGCAGACAATAACAATACCCAGGAGCTTGGGCTGGCTACAAAGTGGATGAAGATGGCACTGTGACTGAAAACTATGGGGAACGAATAGAGGATGAAGAACCAGAACAAGTTGGAGGAATAGAGCTAGGGCATACCTTACAGTTGTTGCAGGTACAAGGTACATAATATAACCAAGAATAACATTTCCTTTTACAGTTTCATACTCAATTTTTCCAATCCAAAATGGATTGTCTTAACAGATAACTTTGAATGTGAACAGAAGAACTGACATGTGAAAAACAGGAATAGGAGTAAAGTCATCAATTGAAGTCCCAGAAGAGAATTGTTGAAGCATTTCTGACTTACCACCAACATGGAAGCAATGCCCCAATAATGCAGCACAAATGCATTGGAATTGGAAGGCCCACCCAACAAGGTGCACAATGAGAATGCTCCACTCATCTTTTTCTTTTGTCATTTTCAGATATACGTACAATTCGAATCTAGCCTTCAATATTTAAACTTGTTTTCCTTTAAAGTAATCACTGTTTTAAATGTCAACTCAGCAATTCTCACCGAAGTGCTCAATGTTGTGAAGTTGATAAGGTGCAAAGATAGAAACAAGACATTGCTGGTTGATCAAGATGAAATTGACTGTTTGAAGAGGGTTGCTCGATTGAACGAGGAAGCTGAATCCATATATGAACTCTCCAAGCGCCCTAACCCGGCTTTTGAAGTCAGACCAATATGGAAAGACATTGTTTTATCGCCTTTAATGTCGACCATCCAACAGGAGCTCAAATATGCATTTAAAAAGGTTGAAAAATTGAAACATTACTTTATGAAGGATGGATGACGTTTAAAATCTTGGGGAGGGGAAGAAAAGGCATGAATTGGGAGCTTCATGAAGTTCAAATTCGTGTCCAAGAAAAATTTGTATCTTCGCACAGCCTGAGAAACAGATAAATCATTGAGAGAAATCAATTAATGAACACCCAGTTGTGCTACTTGTTTTAACAATTAATTTATTTATGAAAAACTATCATTTTTTGGTCATGTTCTTTTATTTCAAATCAGCATATGCCCATTGGCACGCCCACCACATGCATCTAGAGGGTAGACAAATTATACTCCAAATATTTCTCCAAAAAAAAAAAGGCAGGGCAAAGTTAAACTCAAGTGTACATAGCCTGATCCATCTCTTATGAATGTAATTTCTCAGAATAAGTCCCATTCAAGGACATCTTATAGAATTAGATATGGGAATCATTTCTTTGAACAAAATACACTTGAATTCTATATCCATTTGATATCGTGTATCAACTAAATTAGCCATCACCTCCCTAACTACTGAAAGAACAAAAGGGGGAAAAAAAAAAAGCTGTCAAAAATAAACTTAATTAGCCATCACCTCCCTAACTATTGAAAGAACAAAAGGGCAAAAAAAAAAAAAAAAGAAGGCTGTCAAGGCCAATTCTACTAGAGTTTTTCTCGCACTGAAAGTAACCACAAACTGACCTTCATAGTCTTTACCAATCTTACTCGAGCTTATATCTCACATTTTCTCAATGGATTTTGGCTCATAACGGAAAGCTGCAGGAACAATATTTCATAGAAATGATAACCTTCCCTCATAAAGAATGAGTAAAGGGAAATTCCATTATCAAAGGGATTTAAGAAATTGGGCCTTCTAGGATGAGTAGGTTCCATCTCAAACCTAATGAGTTGTCCCTCAAATACAGACATCACCTTACGTTCAGTAGTACCATTACCTAATGCTTGTCTCCTACAACCCCTTACACCTGACCACATGCACGCATCAGGAAAATCCTTCTGTAAGAAAACAAGCTAAAACCAAACTGACCCAAAATGGTCATCCATAACATTAATCATCAACTAGGAAAAAGGAATATATAAAGTAGATAAACTCTTATGTAAAAGATTTTGGAATTCTCAGTTTCAGTAGGGATATCAGCTAACCCTCTTCACTACTTTATCAATGCCCAAGTTAAATCCACCATTCTCATATTTTTTTTTCCTGTTCAGTAATGACCCATCATAAGTTAGTTAATCCTTTGGCATACTAAGGTACAGTGAGTAATAACTAAATTCAAACATGAGCGGAGAAGGAGTGATATTAAACCATGTAAAATCAAGCACTTGTCATCGCAATGAAAGCTACAGCTAACGGTGGAGTGCTACTCAGTCAAAACCCTTAATAGCTTACCAGCTCAAGCAACACAAGACAGCAGCGACTCGAATTAGCAGCAAAACAAATAGTTCTCTCACAGATTAAACCGACAGATTAAGCTGTCAAACGCATCCTAATAATCATCAGCCATCTCAGCTCTGTTTTAACTTGACCAACTTGCCCATTGGACCTTCCTTGTATTGAGAATCTCCCTTCAATGGCCATGGCATTTGTCACCAAGAAATTGGCATTCTTAGATTCTTCCAAAAGCGTAGTGCCATCTGAATGCCCTTTTGACAACCGCTATACTTACCAACACAACCTTGCAATCCTTTTGAGGGCCATCTAATCTTATGAACAATTTCCCACTTCACCACAAAACACCATCCCATAGACTTGCCATTATTCCCTAACAACTTCTAACAATGAACCTCCTAATCTTTCGCAATACAATCACTCTGCCTCGCTTGCAATTACAAAATACCAGGTGTCAATCCTGTGACTTCAGCTTTTACACGAAAGGGAGGAAAAAAGAGCCTGCTACTGCAACAAAAGCTTCGGGCAACAGCAAGAATTCTTCTCAAATTCTTTGACCATCATACAACATCCCATGTAAGAGGTAAACCGTGCCTCGGCCATCACCACAGGCTCCTGCCAGATGGGAATAAGTCTGCACCTGCAAACAGCTGGCAAGCAATACTAAACTAGAGGGCACTGAAATAATAAAAAGGACTCGGTATCATTTTTATGTTTTGCCTCTCCAAAGCCGAGCCAGCAGGATTATAGCTACCACGCTTCTTACATACTTCCATTTTGGCATGACATAAAGAAGTTCAATTCAGTGGACCGATATGCAGGGATAGGGAAGATAAAAACTTGCTCCCACTCCTATGTTTCTGACACCCTGTTACTTCATGTTTTGGATAAATTATGAACTCAAGTGAGCAAGCTCTTTGTTGTCTGAAAATGGAACATACAAAAACAGAAAAAATCCACACCACTATTTTTGGCAATATCGTTAAGTTGCATCAATCAAGACATGTTATCATCATATTCACAACCCACCAAAAACAAACAGAGCCTAACTAAAATTCTACACATGTTTTGCAAAGGAATTATGTGACCATGTATGGATAATACGTTTTTAAAGAAAAAAACCTGCCTCGAATCCACGCATGATTAGCAGAAAATGATTAATCGTCGAGGATGGCAAGGCAAAGTATGCATTAAGTAAAACATATAAACATTCCTAATATGGTGCAATATAGCATTAATGTCAATACAATGCACAATTTCAGACGGAATCGCCACAGATAATTCCTTACTAAAGCATCAATAATTTGACTCTTCATTTTCTGCACTGTTATTGCCACAAGTTATTCCAAACGGGGCTAAAACATTTTGAACGAAGCAAAACTGCAAAAGGCGCAATACCAGCAAACCTGATTGAAAACTGGAAACTATAAGCGCTCACCCATACTTAATTTCCCCATTCCATCACTTTACCATTTACCCCAATATACCAAGAATATCTATCATAATGTGATAGAAGTGCATTGCCTGCAACAAAATGTACGACACAATACCTCACCAAAACCGAGCACCTCTATTTCTCATCTCATCTTCATCTTGATAAAACTTTTCCTGCTTCGCATACTATAATCTAGCATGCAGTCCAAGAAAATTCATCGAATATCGAATATCGATTATGCAAGGAGGCTATTGAAAAACATAATGTGAGACACAGTATGCCTTGATAAAGAGAGAAATCTAGCGTTGGAACTACACGATTTCATAGAATTCAATTGTCTCTTCTACCATGTGAACCCCTCGTTGTTTACATAACATATTAAACATCGTTCTGCTCATAAAATCAAATGTGCTACTGCTAAGCGCAAATCATATATATAATTCCGGTTAATGGACAGCATCCAATGTTAATACATTACAGAAGTGCGATCATGTGCCAGTCGTTTAGTGCTTACACTCATGTATACAATTTACCAAAATTCAAGTAGCAGGGCGATCAAGCATCATCGCCACCGTGTTGGCGTGTTATAGGACGGACTAATTTAGTCACCACACTAACCGGTTCCAAAATGCTATGATATTAGGAAACCCTCAAACTGTAATTTCATTTATCAGAACTCGTTGAACTACAATAGGCTAGATCATATGTCTACTTCTTAGATATGAAAAGGGAGGGGAAAAAAATTCAAGCAACCAAGAAAAAACTGATGAAATTCGATAACGTTTAGGGACATCTGTTGATCCATCTACAAAGCAACGACAAGGAACTTTACATGACTAACCCTACAGACACTAGGCTCTGATCCCCCCTTCACTTCCTTCCTCTCTTTGCCGAAGCCTTCTTTGCTGGAGACTTCACACTCTTAGGCTTAACGCCTTTAGCAGGAGCTTTCTTGGACGCCGCAGCTTTCTTGGGTGCCGGTTTAGGAGCAGGGGCCTTCTTGCCCGGCGATGTCCTGGTCGATGTCCTAGACGCCTTGGCCGGTCTCTCCTTGGCCTTTGGTCTTGCGGCAGCCTTGGGCTTAGCAGCAGCTTTTGGCTTAGAGGCAGCAGCCTTAGGCTTTGCCGGTGCAGCCTTCTGCTTCGCCGGAGCAGCTTTGGGCTTCGGAGCGGCCTTCGGCTTGGTAGCCGCTTTAGGCTTTGACTTGGCGACTGCTTTGGGCTTGGGACGCGATTTAGTGGCCGCCTTGATTGATTTCGTCTCCTTCGGCTTAGAAGCTGGCTTAGCCTTAGGCTTAGCAGCTGCAGGCTTCTTTGCAGGAGCAGAATTCCCAGATGCCTTCGGCGCCGATGACTTAACAGAGGGAAGCTTGAATGATCCCTTGACCTTAACGAGCCTTCCGGCAGCCACAAGCTTCTTTGATTGGAGCAACACAATCTTCCTGAAGTTGGACGGAAGCTGCTTGTATTTCTCTTCGATAAACTTGGTGATCGCGTACTGGCTAGAACCAGTCCTCTCCTTCAGCGTAACAATTGCGTCCTTGATCATCTGCAAAATCCAAATTGAATTCAAAATTAGACCCATCGCACGATAACGGCATCAGCACTACTGTACAATCTACCAGGAAAGCGAAATTGATATCACACCTCTTCATAGGGAGGATGCGCAGGAGGGTTTCGAGATCTAGGAGCAGCAGCCTTCTTAGGTTTTGGCTCCTTGGCTTTCTTGGTCTTGCCACCAGCATCTGCGGCCTCTTTCTCCTCGGCTGGCTCGGCAACAGCTAGTTCTTGTACAGACTCCACAACTACAGCGGGCTCTTCCGTCGACATGACTGAAGAAAAAGGATAACCTGAGATCGGATGAGGGCTTCGAAGCGACGCGAGCTCAATTCTTCAGAGCTAAATTTCGGGGTAACGTTCGTTGAAAGGACGTTGCCGCTGGAAGTTTTGCTGTGAGAGGAAATGTGAGAGTATTGGTAGTTTAAATAGTCATGTGTATGTAAGACGGTGCCTCGATACTGAATTCTGATTGGTCAAGAGGGCCCTGACACGGATTGCTGCCCGGTTGAAGTTTGAATATAGCCCGTTGGATGAAATAATATGCACGGCTATTAAACACCGAATAAGAAGGCGTGGAGCGCTGGGCTGCGCAGAATGGGGGCGTTCCGGTTGTCTGGGTGTGCTTTTAAGCTTGATTCATTTAATCATATTTTGAGATATACTCATTAGTTTTAAGTGAGGTTTTTCCCAGATTGTAGCTTATTATGTGAGCTTTCTAAAGAGTACTTGAGCGAATAAAACGGATGGGTAATTTTTAAGAAATTTGGGTTTGAAGCCACAGTGGTCATCTCTAGGGTTTTCTATGATGTTATCAGGGTTTTTGTAAAATGAAGGGTACTAGTTTGGAACAGAGTGAAATTTAATTAATCACTTGTGATAATAGGCTAACAAAGGATTCCATTGCATCAAGAATCATGAAAATCTGATGAGATTTGAATATAGAACCGTTGGTTAGAAAGTGACCAAGGATGAACATGTACTTGGGAGAAGACCATTATAGCAATGATCAGTGCTTAGAGAACGCAGCCTTTTGTAACATCATGTTCAGATCACAATCCATCTGAAGAACACAGTCTTATAAGTTATCAATGGCATTAGAAATGCGCATTTTGTACAGTCCTAAAACCCAGCAAGCACAGTAAGTTTTTCCCATTCATGATGCCAACACTCCCAACGTCAAGGAACAACTTTAATGGGCAGATCTTGCCAAATTGGATGCTATGTTACGCCAGTCCCTTGTATATCCCATTGATTTGCTTATCACCGTCTTCCAATTCTACAATACGCCAGGTGTTTTTTCCACTTGTATTTGATTTATTTATCGAATACAAATTAATTCGAGTTCATGTGTACTGTATGCATTGTTATATTTATTAACGACTTTCTCCTAAAGCCATATAATATGCTTAAAAGTAAATCTATTGTGATATTGTTCATTATGTGCAGATTAATTGAGATATCATATAAACAGGGATATGGATTGTATTGTCTTATACATGAAAACAATTACACTGTATGTGGTACGCTGTATGTAAATCTAACCAAGCTTTACACTAGTGTTAACGACACGGGCCAGTGGAATATCTTAATGTAACTTGCAACCGTTACTACTTGGCTGGCAGTAGACTTGCTTTTTCTCCATGGCATTAGCGCCTTTCTAAACCGTAAAATCTCACAGTCAAAGCCAGTTATAGCAATTCACCCGGTTAAAAACGAAGCTATAGCAGTTTTGTCTGTTATCTGTCTGTTGCCTAGCATAATTGTTATGAACAATTCACAGTGAAATGGAGGTGGCAAGAGCAACCAACCCCATCACATTAAACTAATGATTCCTTTAGATGATCTGCTTACAGATAATTATTTCTGTTATTAACTTAGTCTCTTGTTGAGCACACCAGTCAAAAACGAAGCAGCCATTTGTGTATGACTTGTCTCGTGGCATGACATCGAAGATTAATAATTAGACTCTTTGGTCCCGACTGTTCTGAGGTTGAATGAATATATCAGGAGAATACTCTGGATATGTATTCTGTGGAATAGGAATGTGATTTTCAGTCAGTTTTATTGGACGATGTTGCTCTTGGTTACAATTAAAGACATGGAACAAATTATTTCAACCTCGCTCAATGAACTCATCCTTGTTATAGCTAAAATGCAACATTTGCTCTGCTCTATGTGCAGTAGATTAGTTGAGGTCGTCAGCTCTGTATCCTACACAACTGGCTCATTCTTAAACTCATGGCTCCTTAAAAAAACATGGATTACACTGAAGGATCATGATAATGCAGACCCTTTAATGATCAAGCTAAGGATCGAGACAAAACAACAAGATGTGGTCTTTTTTTGAGGTTCTTCGCAAGATAAATTATGTCCTCAAGCCTGCTATAAACTTGGATGCTGTTCTCACTTAATAAAGTGAATTGCGCGACTTGATAGTTGTCCATTTTGATTTCTTCCCTGATGAATTTGAAATTCTGATCAAGGCATGAGAGTTCAAAGTTAAATCAAAGGCAGAAACACTACACGTAGCTAGGTATAGATGTACGTGGTAAATGCTTTTGTACAACGTACCTGTCAATGGACGAATCATGCATTTTCTGTGTAACGTTAGATGTCACTGGCAACATTAATGGAATGGTTTCATTTGTCATGATCAATGATTGTTAAGGGAATTAATTTGCATATTGATGATGGAATTAATTCCCTGTGTTGCAACCTTAATTGGGAATAATCTTATTAGTGTGTGTTTGCATCTTCCTCTGATTTGTGCTCATCTTCAAGCGTTTTAAGTTTTTCAAGTGTGATGGATGTTGAATCATTTGAATACAAACAGGATTTCTTATTAAATTTTTCGTAGAAACATGATTGAGTCGAGCAAATATTTTCGTGCGAGGTCCGTAGAGATCTGTGACGAGTTTGGCGGCTATGTGAGGCCATTATTTTCCAATTTCCACGATCCTCGCTCAAGAAATAAATTTCCATCATTTTGATGGAAAATCATTTGCTATGAGATGTAATTTCATTTCCGTTTCCAAAGAAAATCAATATGTTTAGCAAACCGAACAGGACTAAGTAGGCTGAAAAGGTTGTGATTGAAATCCTATCCAGTTTTTGATGGTTGCTACTTGCTCCTTAGGAGTTTATGTTCGTTTGATGTTAAAGCTTCGTACCATTGTGACTTTCTTGCTAAAATATACGTGAGACGTGAAATTTAAACTTGGTACAGTGCTTATCCCTTATCGATGGATATCGAGACACTTGTTTCCGCAGTTCAAATATTTTAGATTCGATGAGTATTTAGCATAAATTGAAATTGGAATCAAACCTACTGGTTAAACTAATGATTGATTATCTGGTCAGACTGGTCGACTAAGTAAATCAGAATTTAGCTTATCAAAGATCAATTCAGTTAATACGAGAATAACCTCAAACTTAGTGTAGCATCAAAACTCATGCCAGTCATTAAAGTGGTTAACGTAATAATTTAAGTGCCACTAAATCAGGCCCTGCTTGACATAACGTTAGAAATCACTTATAAGCACGTTTCACATAAGTCAAGACGCAACTCCTCTCACGTACGTATTTCATATTTCGTAAATTATGATTAAAAAATTACTTATAACTATTTCAAATAGGCCCTCAATTGCAATTGAATAAAAAGCCAAGTTGAATATTATGATTGAAATAATCTAATTTAACTATATACTATACAAAAATATTTATATTTGACTATGATTCATGACCACCCGGCTAAATTGAGCCAGGTCAATCTTGTATTAATTGATTTGTTGAACAAATCAAGTGATTGACTATATTATTAGTCTGGCTGGTTGAAGTGGATCCAATTTTAATATCATGACCAAAGATTCACAGCATCCCATGTTTTATTGCCAATGATAAATCACAAATAAAGGTGACTTGCACAGTCATATAATTTATCATGTCTTATAAATAAATAAATAAATAAATAATGTGATGTCTAATAAATATTATTGATGTACTCCTCCGGTCTATAAGGGTCTTATATGTAGGACCGGAGGAGTATTAATAATTATATTAATCATTGCTATAGTAACAATACAAAGTTATCATGCAATGCTTGTCTAAAATCATTAAATCAAGTGATTCCGGAAACAAATCATATTTTTTTATCGATGGCAATGTTCTTTTATTTTCTTTTGTCTTCTCTTATTTTTCGGGTCACACAGCATAATATTTCGAGTGGCCCCCCGGGGGGTGTTCTTTTTTCTTTTTTTTTTTCCTTTTCCCAGTTGGTGATTAAGGATGTGTTTGGATGAAACCAAACCGTAATTTGGAAAAGTGATTCTGGAGAATAGATTTGGGAAGAATAAATTCTGGAAAGAATAGATTTTTTGAAAAAGTGATTTTGAGAAGTGAGAGTGTTTGGATAGTTGTTATCAGAAGCATTTTTTATATATACAAATTACTAAAAAAAAGACATAAGTTAATATGATAATTACAGAAAAATAGATTTTATGATATATTTTAATTTGAAGGAACAAAATTGTTAATATATTTTTTATTAACATAATTAATAATACATAAAATAATATAATTAATAATAATTAATATGTATATATATTTATAAAATATAAGATTAAATATGTTTATAAAAAAATAACAAATACATATCCTATAGACTCTCACACTTTCCTTTTTTTCTCCAAAAGCAAAAAAATTTTGCTTTTTTCAAAACCATGGTTTTAGTTTTTGGGTGGGTGTTTGGGTGATTGGGTCCCCAAACCATGGTTTGGGGTGTCACCCAAACACAGCTTAAAAGTATTTGGACTAATTTGGTTTTGGGTCTTTCTTAAAAACAAAAAAGGGCTACCCAATCAGTTCCGAGTTAATCGATCACAACCTGTGAAAAATCATGTGGGCCATCCTTGGAAGTAAAATATGGATATCCTGCTTTAAGGCGGGGGGAGCAAGCGTTCATAGGGAGAGAATCCAACCCTCCTCTCCATTCTGGAGGCTCAAATTCGTTGAACCAGCCGTGCCCTAATGATAACATGGTGCATGTTTATCATCACGTTTAAAATCACTTATAAACACGTTTTACATAAATTGAGATAACTTTTCTTATCTATTTATCTCGTATTCAGTAAATCATAATTAAAAAACTATTTATAAATCATTTCAAATAGGCCTATTGTCTCTCTTGGCCTTTGCTTTCAAAGGTGCAACCCAGCTTAGTTCCCTTTTTTTTTTGGGAAGAAAAAAGTGTTCTCACAGGCACCGAAAGCCTATTTTTGAACTATTGAGTATCTACTTTTACTTTTTAGTACAAGTTTTCAAAAAGATTGTCTGTACGAAGATAATGAAATACTTATGGGACGTTCAATTTGTATTTATTTCTATTTCTCTAGCTATCTTCGTAAAATCATGTAATACCATATCATACATGCATGTTATTGTCCTTTTTTTTTTTCCAAATAAAAGGTAGGGAGAGAGAACTACATTCACATGAAGAAAGTTTGGATTGGGCTTATAGACCAGCTCCGTTTCACCAATTTGAATGGGAGAGATTTTGGGTACGAAGGGCAAATTGCCGGCGGTGGATTTAACCATTGCTGTCCATTGGTTTTGTATTGGGTCCAGCTCCAGTTATGGTACCCTGAGGGCAAGCTTTACCCGAAGGAGATCATACACGATTCCTACTCTTTCTGCTATCCTCCCTTTGCCTGCAAATTGATCCCATTAACGGGGCTAAGGATCATTCGGTATACATTTTAGACCACCTGCTTACTCTGGATGCTGTTGAGAATACTTGCGAGACATGCATTTTTTTTTTGAAAAAAAAAAAAAAAAAAAACAGAGAGAGAGAAACCGCAGTTATTTTCCTTGGGAAATTAGAGATATCTAAGGAAAATGTTGATCCCCTAACATCTGTTACTATCATATTTCAGGAGGCTATCGTGATTTTTTTTTTTTTGACCATGAAGGCTATCGTGATTTTTTTTTTTTTGACCATGAAGGCTATCGTGATTGGAACATCATTTTCTATCATCATTTTTGCAGAGTAACGAATACACTAAGCAGCTTGCAATAATCAACTCATGATCTTGATGTTGAATTTTTATCATTTATTGATCATCCCTTGGGATGCAATAGACTTCGCGTGCGCACGTTATTTTATATGGTTGTCGAAATTTAGAGACAGCAGGATGGTGTAATGCACCTACCCCTTGCATATTTTAGGTAGGAAATGTTCGTAGTTTCGAAAGTGTTCCATTATATGGACACATAGTTTATGGTTTCTCAAGTGTTTAACCCGAGAAATTGTCTCGTTCTCCTTTGCTTTGTTCTACCCACTATGCTGACCGTGATAGGTTATCATATTACCCACAAGAGCATATTTCTGGTTTAAGCATAACAAGCCGAGGTGCCTTTTTTCCATTGGGAATGTAACCAATGTATTTGACCTGAAAGCATTCACACTCATATATCAAGGACAACAAACTGAATAAGGTTTGGCAATATGCACACATCGAAAGGTTGTGACTTTTAGCTCCTCCTGCTCAATCCTAGCATAACCGATCACCATATATGCAGAAGCTGCTCGGATGCAGAATCAACAACACGATTGTTACGATTAGAGAAAATACTGGAACAGACGCGATAGCCGGTAATCAGATATTGCGAGAAAAACTGTATATTTAACCCTACTCTTAAATTAGAGTACACCTGGAAGGACACGAATGCTCACTAGCAGATGCTTTCTTTGATGCATATATGTCAGACTAAAGATATTCCCTCACAATCAAACTACAAGATCTTCATGGTAATCAAGGCAAAATATCACCTTTTTTTGAAAGGCATTCCATTCTTGGAGAATCTCCTAAATTGTTCATAACATGCTTGTGATAAACGACATGGTTCTTACCGTTTGAAACTACCCATTTTACAGATATCTGCTTTCTGGACGCTGCTTCTTATCTTCACTTCCTAACTAGATCGCTCATCAGCCAAACCTCCCAAATCCATGCTTGCACCACTTACAAGTTACGACTATGTACAGCACCGACACGATCCAAACTGAATCATGCATTTGCAGATTGTGCTGATATTCTAGGGTGGTTATGCTCACCTTCATATGTAACAATTAGCATCGAAGGGTCTTCCAAGCACCGCTCCACGTGTTTCCTAGCAGGGCACCCTCTCATGCTGCTGCACTTGTAGTATCCTCTGCATGAAAAGGGATCATATTCAGTTTCCTTCATAATAAAGCTTGTAGTTCATGCTCTAAGATTAAAATAAAATTGTTCAATATGAAACCGGTAACCCAAGTTTCAACTTACTTCTCGTTGTTGAACTGTGCGAATGAAAGCAAAAAACCTTGCAAGAACGAGTTTATGCTGGCAATATCAAAATGCCACAAGAAAGGAGTTTTTGTATCTTCAACAAACAGGGCACAGAATAGAATTACAGATGCGAGGTATGTACTAAAATGCCTAGAAGTCGAACTATAAATTCACACCAACTAACCAAACGGTTCAGGGACCTTGAAAAAAAAAATTTATTACATCATAAATACGCCACTCACAATTCATGGTCCACTCGAATCAGTTAACCCGGAGAAAACAGAATTTAACATACCTAGGATGAGGAGAGCCTTTGATTGGCTTCTGCCCGTATTTTCTCCATGAATAATCATCAGGGGGTATATCAGCAAGCTTGTTGCTAATGGCAGGCACTTTGATTGACCTCTTCACTCTATGCTTTCTGTGGAGAAAACAAGCTATGTCAAAAACATATCAAACTCTTCCATCAAGGAACCGCCATTAATACAAGGGAGTTAATCGCAGAACTCGGGAGAAAAAGAAAACAATCAAATCGAGACACGCTTGTGGGAGGAATAAGTCTGACCTCTTCTTTGAGCAATGGCATCTAGTACTGCTCCAACATTTCACACTGCCTTCATCTCTGCCAGAACACTTTCTCTTGTGATGTGAATTCTGATCTGAAGAGTGTGGAGCTCCAATTAAATGGAAGGCACTCCCAGTCCCATCCAAGTTAGCTACGCTTCCATCTATGCTTAAGGAAGAAATGAAAGATCTAGTGGATGACATTGTGGGTGTGCAGCTAGAGCTATCAAAATTCAGATTGATTCCACTATTGTTCTTTCGAAACATCATTTCTGCTTGGTGTTTCATTTGTTGCTGTTGTAGCAATATTCTTTGCTGCTGCTGCTGAAGGAAGTGATAGTGCGGAGATGACGCTGAAGGGGTAAGGTGTAGGGGATTTTTGCCACTTGAACTCAATTCCAAAGATGGTTTCCCTAGAGACAGTGAGTTTCCAATATTTGAGCCCAACTCCTGAATTGAATTGTCAGAAGAGCTAGGTTGCAGAGACAGCAGATTTTTGGGACAATGGTTTGATTTGGAATTTGGATTGTCCAAAAGAATACTCTGAGGAAAAGGGATTTGAAGTTTTTTGAGCTTCCTGACTCTTGCATGACCCAAACCATTATTGAGCAAGGAAACAACTTTCTTGAATCTGGACACAGCCTCGCCTGTTTCCACCATTAAATTGCCATAAGGAACCTGATCCTGGCGCTGAGACAACAGACTTAGGACTCTATGGCAGCTTTCAACGGCTGCTCTGTTGGCTTCTTCAACCTCCTCCATATTAGCTTCTAGCTAAATCTAACAGTTAGAGAGATCAAGGTAAAAACGTAATTCTTCAAAGCTCAGGTGACCAGAAACTTAAGATAAGAACATCAGAAACCCAGAAAATCCCATATGTTTACAAATATAGAAGACATTTGGACCACATGCGCCAAATTATAAGACACAGGAACGAAGAATCCCATTTACGTAAGACAACGAGCCAAACGGTGGATTTTTTCAATCTAAGTCTGAAATTGTCAGCTCATGAAAGGCTAGGAAAATGAAGACCCAGCGATGAGCAGCAATTATCCACTGGGACTGCGAATAATGGGGAAAAGGAGTCTACACAAAATCTGGGAAAGTACAGAAATCGACCCGATTTCCAGTAAGAAAAATAATGAGAAAAGCATCAAAGGACGGACCTTGATGAACTTGGCACTATCAAACCCTAGATTCTTCTTCCATCGGATTGAGATTGAAAGGTGCGAAAGAGAAGACTATGCTTCGCTCTGAGAAATCACAGACACCATAAGAGTACGAAGCTTGCAATTTAAATCATATTATATTCCTAGTTTCTTCAACATGATTACATAATATTATATTTTATAGTGTAGATGCACAAATCAGAGACAGGGGAGTAGGAGCTAGGAGGGAAAATGAGAAAAGAAAGATGAGAAAAAAAGTGAAGGGGGATGGAAGAAACGGAATTTAAGGGGGGTGTTGCATCAAATAAACTATTTTATAAAACTATTTTATAAAATTATAATTTAATTTCACCCAAACAAACATTTTTTAAGCAAAGGAAGGCACCACACAAGATTCAAGAGGAACTGAAAGAAAACCGCCGTCTCTGTCACAGATTTGAAGGGGGTCCCATCCGAAGACCTTTGTTATTCTTTTTCTTCTTCCGTTTCAACTTTAATTAATCTTTTATAAGACCTACCACTTCAGCTTCATTTCCACTACTTCGCCATTGGCACTGAGGCATTAATTTCTTACACGCACTGCCCTAATCTGGACTTCTCAAGCTCCTCGGAATCTTCATGCTTGCTAATATGCTTGGGCCCACCCATCAATATCAGGCAAATTTTCAACCCGATTTGTGGCGGGTTTTTCTTAAACCATTTTTTATTACGAGTTTTGAGATCAGCTCGAGCATTTAATTTTATAACAATATAAAATCAAGCATTTAATTTCTACTAATAAGTCCCCTTTTTTCTATATTTTTTGGAATAATAACATGCAACTTTTTTCCCTCTTTGTAAAAAAATAATTATTTTCATTTTTTATTTTATTTTTAATTAACCAACAATAATTCAAATTTTAGGTTTGGGTTATTTTTTATTATACTTTTATGCAGTATGCTTGGTAAAATCAAAGAAAATAAATGAGATGCAGATCGCATCATTGAAAGTTCATGTATCGTCGGCAAAAAAAAAAAATGCATCGTTGTAATTATTTTTTCTGTAATTAAATTACATGGAAACCCGGGGTGTGGTTGAGTGGTAGGGGCTCATCCTCCCTTAATCAAGTGTCGAGGGTTTAATCCTTGCTTTGGGTATGGAAAAGCTTTAAAACCCTGGGCCAGCTGTCCCACCCATCGAGGTGCCTATAAGCCAGCGAAGGAATTAGTCACCGGGTCCGCCGGTGGATACCCTGATGTTTCATCAAAAAAAAATTACATGGAATATAGTATATAAGTTTATAAAAGAAGTTATTGAAGCATAAATTTAAAATAATGAACAGAGATCAAAATGAGTGACACTAATTTAAAATAATTAAATAGATTTTTGTACATTATGTAAAATCTAGTAAACACCCTCTTCGGTAATTAAACGGAGATTAAAATGTCTATGTTTTCATTAGTATAGTTGATTTAGAGTTGATATTAATTGAATATTTAATTATTTAAATTTTCCGGGCACGCATGGCCAGGCCTGGGGTGCAAAATCCAGTGAGGAGGGAAAGGCCAAGACAAAAGATGCAAGAGAGAGCTGTGATTAGCGTTGCTTTGAAGGATCCATCTAGTCTGCGGCGCGTAAGAAAATGTCCGCCAAACAGTGGGGTCCATGCCACAATATAGCCGTTACGACCCAATCACACGTAGACGCGTGTAAAACACCCACCAAAAATCCCGACTCGCAACCCAAGGTAGTGCTCCAGTTTGACTGCGCCACGCAGCCCTCTTGCTATCATGCGCCGTGAGAACACTGTCTCTGTCTCCCGCCACACCAATAGCATTGGGTCCCACCTCGTTGACTTTCTTGCTTCTAAGTCGCTAATATTGTGCCTGATCACCTCTCAAGTCCCAAGCGTGCATCTTGCAAGGTGTGATAATCCATTTGGATGGGGCAAAAAAGTTTAGAAGATCAAAAAAATGGAAGGAAAAATGAATAAAGGAGAGAAGAGGAGATTATGTTATTTCTCTTTCTTTTTTTTTTTTGTTTGGACGGACAAGATAAAAATACAGGGGGGGAAAACGAAATGTTGTGTTAACAATAATGCTCTCATATTATAATATACTGTGGCTCATTTTATTATTTCAATCAAAAAAAATTCAAGACAAATTATATTAAAATTGACGCATCAAAAATTTTCAAACTCTATATAAGATTTATTTTGTAATGTAATTTATACTATAAAATGAGCCTTACATTTAGAATTATATGAGTATAAAGATTCTTAAAAGCATGGCTAGTGGAACCAATATAATTTTAATACATCCTTACTTTTTTTTTTAGGTTGCCCACCCAGTTTCAGTGGAGCTTTGCTCCGACTACATCTAGATCCGACCTGGGTCGCGCACCTGGCTGTGGTGGGTGAGTCTCCCAACGGAGATTTCTACATACGCAGAGGCTCGAACTCGAGACCTCGCTTAAGCGGTACCAAGCTGCTTACCACTTGGACCAACCCCCATTGGTTTAATACATCCTTACTTGATGCTGCAATTTGGTAACTTAAAATTTGAGATGGATTTTAAAATTTTATAAAATGTATCGCTAATTTGCCGTGACAGCTCTTCTTCGTTATCCTGCTAATTGATAGTTAACATTATTATATTAGGATTAGATAATGTTAAGGTGATTAGAATAATTCATTTGAAGATATTTTCTGCATCCAGGTGTATTTAAATGGCCATGATCCTCTCTACTAGCGCAAATGCGTCCCGAAATACTTTATTACACATTAATGCTTTTCATTCTAATTTTACAAAATTCCATGTATAAGAGTTAAATACTGAAAAATAAAAAATATGAAATCTGTACGCGAAAGTCTCGCAGAGCACTAAACATGTGGCTGTGATTCTGATTTTTTGCTATAATGAAAAAAAAAATTGAGGTGTGATGTTTTAAAAAAAAAAAAAAGTGGATAAGATGGATTCCTACGTGAAGACCACGTAGAAGAAGATACACAGGGCAGTGACTAGCAGCCAAATTTAAAAAGTACGTATTTGTTGAAGTTTTAGTAATTAAAAATTTTAAAAGAGAGATAAGGTTCGTGTCATGAACCAAGGATTACAATATATCACGAACCACTCAAAACAAAATTAAATAAAACCGAGGGGTTAGGTTATGGCATGCCGTTACTTGTATTGTTTGTGAAATATTAGTAGCGGCTGGATCTTCATAATTAGCAATGCCTGTTTCGTTTGGTAGTACTAGTGTCGCTCTCACTTGATATAAAATATCAGACACGGAAGCCTGATTACTGAATTCCATTTCTTAATACCCATAAAGCTTATTTTAATATCTTCAGTATCTTGATAACTACCTCTTACTCAAGCGTACGTCATCCCATTTAAACTTGATACGTTTTTTCGGGGATAATAAACAATTAAACATGTAGTCCCTCCTGTTTTGTTTATGAGTATTTGGATTTTGGAGGATAAGTGCTGTAGTTTTTTTTTTATAAGTAAATATTATATTGATAATAATGAATTGTTTATTTATAAAGTTTAATAATATAGAAAGGCAAGAGTGCAAACCAGGTATTAAATTCTCTAGATATTATCAAATGAATTCATATTTTGGGCTTCAAGTCAAGTGAAAAAGAAGAAGAAGAAGAACTGATTAAATTGTGATGGGAGCAGTAATATTCAATAATAGGCTTCAGTCACATAATCGTTTTTTATAAGCTTTTCCTGAGATGGTATATTTCACGCTGAAGATTCCTTTTGCGATGAATTTGTAATAAAACGTTCATTCATCAAAACTGCATTATTGCGAACTGAAAAATCATACTAATCTTCTCATCGTTAATATAAGACCTAATTAACTAGTTTGAAAAAATTAAAAAAACTAGTTAAGTTAGTTATTTGTTATAAATAAGTGTTATCTTTTGTAGAATACCGCTAATCATACATATTAGCTAAAATTACCATTTAATAAAAATTTTAACACCTGCAACTACTAGCAGGGCTGCTATGAAAAAAATGAATAAATATAAAAGACAAAATGAATTGGGTTTTTATATTTATAACAAAATTGAAAGCCAAACAAACTCTTATAATAATGAACGGAGGTAGTATATCGAAAATAGTTAGGCTTTTAATATCCCAAAACTTGTATGTGAAATAGATTCTCTGATCATAATTAAGGAAAATGCCTAATAATACTACTTCTGGTTCTAATTATAAGATCTTGTTTATAGTTTACAAATGAGATTTTATAATTAGGACTAGAAGAGGAGGAATTACTTACCAACAGTTTGCCTCACAAAACGGTTTCTTTGGGGCCTCAAAAAGTTCAAACCAAACGTACCTGTAAGACGCATCAAGAATTACAATGTTATTTCCCTTTCGTGGGGAAACAAATCGACCACGCATCGCACACCCCACTTTTGTCACATTGCAGATCTGAGCCACTCGAAAAAGGGCAACCGACATTTGAGAGCACCGAAGAACAGTGAGAAGCACCGAAGTAATACTATAAACTTAATTCCCTTTCCATATAAATGCACGGTGAAAGTAAGAAATCACCGTGGTTTCCATTTGCTTCGGCTGAATAATTTTACTGTTTAGTTTTTTAAATACACCATACGTAGATCTTTATACAGAACCAAAAGCAAACTTTAGGTAAAGCTTCTGAGAAAGAAAGATTGGAAAAGTCAGATCATCAGTTCAACGAGTTCATTGTTTTTCTTCGTGTTCTGGCACACGTTAGCGAGATACACGTTCAATCACGAATCTACTGCTGAACGCGCGAGCTTGTTCCATAGACTATGTAGGTGGCAGAGCCACACACGCACACATTTAGATATTCTATACTTAATTTTAATTTCGCAGAGGCCAAAAGAGGCATATTCTTAATCCTCACCCTTCTCAAAATCAATACGAGCATCTCTCAGATTCCATATATGAAACCGAGTCATTATGACCCCTCGCTCCCCACCCTCCATTTCCTCTTTTCCTTTTTTCCGAGCATATCTTGCTCGTCTCTTGATTCTCTATTCCCTCAGGTTCGATAATTTATGCTTCTTGTTTCAGGATTCACAGGTCACGAAAGTGAGAGTCCACAAGCCCGGAGAATACCCTTCGCTCCTTGTAGTTCAAAGAGAATATAATATAGCAGCAAATAGTATAGAGAGTTCGCATAGGGACCAGGATCCCACTGAAGTTGGAACAAACCACAATAATCTAAAAGCAAAACAATGCACTTTGTCCTCCTGGCACATTACCCACCGAAATAACATTCTGTTCGTCTGTTTTGCTTTTATGTCATTGCAGAATATTTTTTTTTTCCAAGCCCCTTTGTTTCTTTACCATCTTTCATGGTCATGGCGGAGGGAAAAGGGTACAATTTTGCAAGCTTTTTTCATGGCACATGGATTTACCTTCACGACGCTTTAACTTTTTAATGGACCAATAAAGGAGGCAAAAGCAGCCTGGGCAACCTCGGGATCTGCTCATCAAACAGGTTTAGCACACTGTCCAACTCACGTACGTCCATGATTAGAACCTTAAATTATGGTTAAGATAACTGTTTTCATTTTGTAGGGTTCCCTGACCTAGTGACCTTACCGTTGAATCCATGCCGACGACAATTCATCGATGTTCACTGCATTAATTGCCTTTCACGTAGAACTGCCGTGCGTGCTATTCGGAAAGTGTCATTGATTCTGAAGCCGCGCCTCTCCCGGGGGCTCCCCGTTGCGTCGCTTTCATTGCCAACAAAATTCAATCATATTTACGATGCTAATTTTTCAACGCGGTTGCAACGTCGAGTGTTCATTTCATGTGCCGTGAAGTGGACAGATTGGCGTGTGCGTGATGTTCAGGTTCAAAAACTCGCTCGTGCGTGTACATATAAATGTAGATGTGCTTGTTAATTACTCGTCCATGGGTTCTTTTTTTTTTTTTTGGTGCCAACTACTCGTCCATGGGTTCTACTTCGAAATAGATTGTAATCCTGGAGGCTTATTGTTTATGGTGTGTCTGTTTCTGGTCAAGCCCACAAGGAATTGGATGCCTTTCCGGATTAGTTTGGAGGAGGTGGAACTTGGTAGCCCAAAAGAAAAGTTAGGTTAAAGACCTAGTTAGGAATCTCAAAAAGGCCTGCATTTGGAGAATCCAAAAAATGCTAGGAAAAAATATCTTAAAAGGTGAATTCTCCCTTGTACTTTTGACTGGGGTTCAGGGGTGCGGTATTACGCGCCTGATTCGCGCAATGCCATCTCGTTTCATTGATCCCGGGGGCCACAATTTGCTTTCATTGTCGTACTACCTCCTGTCTTAATTATAAGATCCTGTGATCTTATAATTAAAACTGGAGGTAGTATGCCCTGGGAGAAAAAATTTAGAACCGTTAAACTTCTCACAGCCACCAATGAGGATCCTCAGTCTAGTGAAAATATCCTCTGGTGTCCTAACACCAAGAAATAAATCGGCACCACTAACAATGGACAACTTGTCATCGATCCTCTCTTTCCAAGACTGAAAAGAATATGAAGATGTTATAATGCATCAGCAAATTATAGTGCCACTGGGTTAATTCCTTCGTTGCTGGAGATTCCCCGGGAGAGCATCATTCTTATTTTATTGTTATGGCACATATGAATTAACTGCTCTAATAAGATGATCGCAACAACCCAGATTTAATTGGGTTTTATAGTAGTATTGGTTAATTAAGTAGCTTAAAGGGTAGGTGTTACAATGAATAGAACTTAACAAGTCCTCGAACAGATGCCATTCCCGCACACGAGCACACAACTCGGACCCAAGCAGCTGCAGACGTCATACGGATCGAGATGCTTGAAAGAAGATAAATCCATGGAAAAACACTTCAACTGTTCAATATATATCATTCAAGGACATCACGATACTTGGTAGATGTGGCTCAGGTTTTTGGACTAGTTTTTGAAAGTGATTTTATGGATTATAAAATAAATAGAAACGTTTTATCTTAATTTGTATGAAAATATTTTTTCTAAGTACTTTAAGACTTGTCAAACTCCCCCGTCCAAAACAAACGTGACTTCTAACCTGTATGGCTTTTACTTAGACCAACAGCGGCTTCTGAATTAGCGTGTATTTGGATTGGAGTTGAAACCAACAAACATGCCTTAAACAATGTGAAAAGTCGGCTAGTGGGTTGCTTTAACATTTATATTTGTTTGGATTAACTTTTTTTTCTAATGAGTGTTTGCAGCAAAAAAAAAGAAGCCCGGCACTGCCAAAGTCGAAAATCTGGGCTTATTGAGTTTCTACCGTGGGAAGAGAAATAAATAAGGATGAAAAGAAAGAGAATGACATTTAAATAGGTCCTACATTGACTTAATAATTTGATTTTTTTTTGCTAGTAATAATTTTCTAATGCTTATAAATTTTTTTAGGAAAAATATTCAGGTCAAGTTGTTTATATCTATTATGTCAAGTTCTCCAATCACATATAGTCATATGTTTTATTTTTTTATGTGATTTTATAATTAAACACCATTAAACGCAAGTGTTTTAAAAATAGAACATACGACTATGTAAAATTGGAGAACTTAACATAATAATACAAGGAACTTCACATGAGTATTGTTCTTTTTTTTTTTAATAATACATCAAGTCTTTTTGTTTTCATAATTTTATTTTAATTTATTGTTTGTCTTAAATTTGTTAATTTATATATATGAGATATATGTTATAAAATTCATGTTTTTTTTCCTAGTTATTTTCTATGTAAAGTTACTTTTTTATTACTCATCTAAACAAATTTTAATTTATTAAACTGTTTTTTAATAAAAAAATAATCTAAATATAAATAACGTTAAACTAACTAATTTTTATTCTAATTGAGTATTTGAAAAGAAAGATAAAATAAAAATCAATTTTACCGTTGCTAATCTGAATACACTCTTGCACTCTCTGCTTTGTCGGTTGGAGCCGTCGGGTAATGCCCATCACGTGTACGTGGCCGAACTAGCGCTAGCTCCACTCGATTTCGACCGGAAGAGGGGGAAAAAATAAAAGGTCCGGCCCATCATTTGTGCATTCATAATCCTCTTTGGGCTCAACAGTTTAGACAATGGAAGAAAAGAGAAAAAAGATGAAATTTTAATGAGTTTGGCTTAAAAAATTAGAGAAGTAAAAATTTAAAAATTAAAAAAAATATGAAACAAAAAAATAATAAAATTTAATGAAAAATTTTTAACCTCATTTTTTATTTTTTTAAATTGATCTCGTTAAAAAATTTTATCCCTTCTCCTCCCCTTCATGTTTCTCCTTTTTTTTGGTAACCCCTTCATTTTTGTCATAGGAAAAGGACTTTTTAATGTGTTAGTGGGCCGGGGCGGTCCTCTAATGGAGCCCAACACAGTAGAGACGAGAGTCGTAGCATCCGACTTTGCGTTTTGACTTGGGAAACAATGCCGAGTGCCATCATTCTCATCGGATCGTTTTCTCTGGCGGCACTGCGTGGCATGATTTTCAAAGTTATGGAACCCACCATGTCTTGGGGATTAAATAAGTCAAGAAAAAAAGCATTGGTATGCATATCCAAATAGCGGCAAGTGATAGGGGAAGAAGAAGAAGAAGCAAAATTCAGAGGTGCGTTGTTGAAATGAGATCCCCGGGAAGAGAGGTCGAAGAAGAAGAAGAAGAAGCAGCGAGTAAAGGGACGTGGAAGCACGCAGCTTTCCATATAGCGACGACCATTGCGACACCTGCGGCTTATGCTCCTCTGCCCTTTGCTCTCGCTTCCCTTGCTTGGCCCCTCGGTTAGTTCCTCTTCCTCTTCCGCTTCCGCCGTTTACTTAACTAACAGCCTCCTATTAGGCGCTTCTAAAGGCAAAAAACAACTTACTATAGTTTATTTGGTTTAATTTTTAAATTTTGTACAAAACGTAAAAACCATCTTAATTTCATCGACGGAGGGATAAAAAAAATAAAAAAATAAAAACAAAACAAGATGCACAAGTTATAGAAATCTCTATGCTCTATCTCATATCAGCTCGAAGTTTGTATTAAAAGAGAAAGACTTATGATAGCAACTACATGGATGATAAGTCCTTTTTTTTAATAACTATTCCCATCAATCAACATACTAATATATCATGACGTTATTAAACTCTACTCAAGCCAAATTTTAAGATATACTGTTATATTAATGCATATCCTAAATTATAAAATTATAAAATTTATAAGAAGCTGCGTTTTTACAAGTCATGATCAATATAATTATTTTCTAAATTCAATAAACAATTTTCTTCTTCTTTTATTTATTTTTAGATAAGGTGGCTCTTAAGTCTTTTTGATAGAAAGCTCGGTTTTTCAAAAGGTCCAATTTTTTTAGCTGTATTCTCAAAATTTATGTAAAATAATCTAAAGCGATCTAATGGTAGGCGAACTCTCATCACATCGAAACCAAGTGAATACTTTACCTTGACTAATGATATTGGCCTTTCATGTTTTCTTGCCTAACGTTCTAAACAAATTGTCAATCATTATCTAGGTGCTTTTTGTTGATTTTAGGTGTCACTAGCCTGGTGCTTGCAACACTAGCCACCTGGTACTCCAGTATATTGATCGCTTCTTTATGGAAATGGAATGGGGAGAAGCACCTTACCTACAGAAATCTTGCACATAGTATTTTTGGTTGGTCATCTTGGCTTTATATTTACATTCGCTGCTGGTGATGCCCTTCGTGATAATACTCTTAAATTACTGATTTTTGAAGGTTCCTGGGGGTACTGGTTTATTGCCTTTTTCCAGCAGGTAGCTTCTCTGGGAAACAACATTGCCATTCAAATTGCTGCTGGTAGCAGCCTTAAGGTCGGTGATGAATCTTGTATAATGTTTTGTAAAATGCTGCCTGTTTAAATGGTTTTATGCTTCTGGAATTGTATTTCATGGATGTATGTATATTGTGCAGGCAGTTTACAAACACTATCACGAGGCTGGCACATTGACTCTGCAGCATTTTATTGTGTTCTTTGGAGTGTTTGAACTTGTCCTCTCCCAGCTCCCTGACATTCACTCGCTCAGATGGGTTAATGCATTGTGCACTTTCAGCACAATTGGCTTTGCTGCTACAACAATTGGTGTCACTATTTATAATGGTAAGTTAAGCTCGTGGGTGGTGAAAATTTTCTGTTCTTTTCCTGTCATAATTTCAAGACAATGACATAGTTAGCTTTCTCGATCTCAACGTCTGTCAGGGAAGAAAAGTGACAGAAAATCAGTAAGTTACAGTTTGCAAGGTAGTTCTGCCTCCAAGTTCTTCAAGGCCATCAATGCCCTTGGGGTCATTGCCTTTTCATTCGGAGATGCAATGCTTCCAGAAATACAGGTATCTATTAATTCTTCTCGTCTTCCTCTATTGGTTTGCCAGGGTCACTTTCTTAAATTGTTCAAATTTTAATCTTTCATGATCAAATTATAAAAGAGCTATCAATAACAACCTATCCCTTTCCAGAATACGGTGAGAGAACCAGCAAAGAAGAACATGTACAAAGGTATATCAGCAGCATATAGTGTCATTATTTTGAGTTACTGGCAGCTGGCCTTCTTTGGATATTGGGCTTTTGGATCAGCAGTTCAGCCTTACATCTTAGCTTCGCTGTCTAAACCAGAATGGACTGTCATTATGGCTAACTTATTTGCAGCAATTCAAATATCAGGATGCTTTCAGGTACACCGTCCTCGGCCAACGGTCCCTTTGTGCATAAATCTTCAACGGTTCAAAAGACTCTTCTAATGGGGTTCCCTCGTTTTTATGTCAGATATACTGCAGGCCAACATATGCCTATTTTGAGGAAAGAGTGGTGTCCAGTAATAAATCTACAGACCATTTCTCCATAAGAAGTCACCTTGTGAGGCTTTGTTTTACTTCTATATACATGGTCCTTGTGACTCTGATTGCCGCAGCTATGCCCTTTTTTGGGGATTTTGTGTCAATATGTGGGGCAATTGGGTTCACTCCTCTAGACTTTGTCTTCCCTGCTTTAGCCTACCTCAAGGCAGGAAATATGCCGAAGAACACCAACATTAGGCTTATGATGCGGCTTCTGAATCTTTTTATAGCCATCTATTTCTCCGTTGTGGCCGTCTTGGGTTGCATAGGAGCTGTCAGATTTATAGTGGAAGATGTCAACACCTACAAGTTTTTCCATGATATGTGAAAGGCCTTCCCCTTCTTCCTGTGTTGATATAATTATTTTTCCGCAGTCGAAGCCTCTGAAATCTTGGAATCCTATGGCGCCTTTAATGCGTTCGATTGCTCTCAATCTCATACGATTGTTTGAGTCGTCAATGGAAGTTGAAATCAAATTATGCAAGCAAACAAAAAATCTACACAGCAGTTAACAGAAAAAGAATGTTATTTGTATCGAAACAATTGTTTAAGAATTTTATTTCTTCAGACAAACAGACTGATAGTTCTGCCGATATAAATAGCTTATAACATGTTTTATAAAAGTTAAGATAAAATTTCTACGTATTTTGTACATTATTATTAAAAAACTGTTTAAGCTTTTATTTTAAATTTTATTATACTTAATTTTTTGCCCAGCAAATGGAAAAGGCTCAACCAAAAAAAAAAAAACCCCTTTTCTTCGCTGTAATAAATTTAGGGAACTATCCCGCCACGTGGAATCATGTCCCGCTGAGACAGAGACCCGGTGGGAACCACTCCACTTCTCTTGATTTGACCCGGTTCGACGACGATTCGCTAAACGACAATCACTGCGCATTTCATTCTTTGAGTCACATGAAACGGCGTCGTTCATGCCCTCTCAAGTTTCACAGTTGGCAACTGAAGTCAGTTAAATCAGAGCTTCCCCGAAGCCAAGCGCCTTAGCTCCTTCATTTTCTTCTTCCCCTCGCTCTGAAATGGATGTAACTTCTCCTTGTTAGGGTTCCAATCCGTCTCTGCTAGATTGATTAATTGATTTTCAAGCTTTAGACTTTGGTTTCGAATTTCATTCTCTAAATGTCTTCCACATCGATGCCGAATTACAGCTCGCTTCCCTCAACCTCCAATACCCCTGGTTCTTACCTTGGCCCACGCGTCAGGACAACAGCTCAATCCGTTTACGCCACTCGCCGCCCATGGGAGGAGGTCTTCGCTCTTTATTCCTTCAATCGCCCGTTCACCTTTGGAGAAGCCACCATGCGCATAAAGCGCAACCTCAGTCACTTCCGCGTCAATTACGTTCTTATTGTTCTCGTAATTCTCTTCCTTAGTCTTCTCTGGCACCCGATATCGTTGATTGTCTTCTTGGTGGTGTTCGTCGCCTGGTTCTTCCTCTATTTCTTCCGGGACGAGCCGGTGATGGTGTTCAATCGCCAAATTGACGACCGGGTTATGCTGGTTGCGCTTGGGTTGGTGACCATTGTGGCCTTGATTCTCACCGGCGTCTGGTTGAATGTCTTGGTTTCAATTTTGATTGGGCTCGCAGTTGTCGGACTGCACGCGGCGTTCAGGAGTACGGAAGATTTGTATGTGGATGAGCAAGATGCCTCCGATGGAGGGCTACTCTCAGTTGTAGCTAGCCCCCCAAGACGAACAGGGTACCCCAAGGTTTAGGTTTTTTCTTTTGTCAGTTTTGGGTTCAATGGATTGTGGAGTTTCACGATTTAAATAAGGTAAAGTGTTGTGCATTCCTTCTAGCGCGAGTGATAAAAATTTGCTATAGTTGTTTTCCATATACTTGTCTGGATAGGGTAGTCATTTTGCAGTTTGAGTTCTTATTCAATGTATGCCCTGGTTTGAGAGGCTTGTTTTTGTGATAGAATCAATCCTCTCTTCTTTGTATTTCCCATTCATTTGGGGCGTCTCAAATTCTTTTTCCTCGCTTGTATTGGAGATGGGTTTGGGTATTTGCCTTTTTATTTTGAGCAAAGTTAGATAGGTCCATAGTTCTTTGAAGCGTCAATTATTCTGGTTCTTAATGGTATGGGTGTCTACTTCATTATCATGCATATCCAGTGCTTTTGTTTCCCCAAAGTATGGAAGAACATGTTCCACCCTGGCGTGACCTATAATTTCTGGAATGCTTTATGTGGGCAGAGCATGTGAGTTTTGGGTGGCCCTATTTGGAAATGAGAAGCAGTTGAAGGAAGCAAAGGAAGAAATGAGAATAGCTGCTTTCAGAAAGGCTACCAAAAGCCGATGCTTTTTCATTTTGGTTCTACAGTGGAATCTCAGGGCAAGCACCTTCTGAGACTCATATTCTCCTCCTTGTTACTGCCATACAAAGACTTGATTTTATATGTCTTGTACTGTTTTGTGATAAAAAGGAAAACAAGAAAATTTGTTGGCACTGAGGTTTCCAATATGTTCTTAACAGTTCCTGCGCCTCTACTAACTTTCCCTGATTAGAATTTTCACTCCTTTCAAAATATATGATTTGTTTGAAATTTTAAAATATAATTATTACTTATTTTCAATAATATCTGTATTAGATGAGCGTTAAATAGGGGTAGTGTCGATTTAAAATAGTGTGACATTAAAGCGAGAAAAAAAGAAAAAAAATTTACATAATACTGTAGGTTTTAATATAATATCTTGTTTAATTTTTATTTCGGTTATAAATATTAAGTCCTAATTTATTTTATTTTTCATATTTATTCATTTTTTTAAAGATAGTTTTTGTAATAATAATAGTTTTAGCCAATAAATTTGATTAGCAAGGGTATTTTAGAAAAAAATAATATTTATTTATTACAAATAACTAATGTAATTAATTTTTTTAATCTATTCAAATTGATTACTAACTCTTATTCTTATATTTAGAATAAAAGATATTATATAAATTTTGCTCTCCGGTATGATGATGACAAGGAATAAGAGACGGAGGAAGCATATAAATTCTCACATGCCAAAAGGTTTTTATTATGAAAGTTTATTCCCCTTAAAACCTTCCCCCGCCCACGTGCTTCTGCTTAAGAAAAATGTTGTCAGGAACTAAGGAAGCCATTCCTTCTACTTCTCTGGGCTCACCGGGGAACGAACCTTCCGTTACAAACTTGCAATGGGTTCAATCACGAACGAACCCTCACCACTTTACAGATGCATAACTTGGAAGCTGTAATAATTGGAGATCTTGCTTTACAACATACTCGACACAATTCTTTAAAATCCAAGAAATCATCTGTTGCAGTCAAGTATGGATCCTGTATCTATGACGCGGATAGATCTAAGAAATATAGCTTGCTGTCAAGTGTTCAATCGTCAAATAGTTGGAAGAAATAGCGAGCGAATAAAAATGAAACCAAACTGTTGAAAAATCAGAGTTCGGGTATACCATGCTACGCTATGTTAAGACAGAAAATGTGTCCATAACTTTAGTGCCTATAGTATACACCACAACAGTGCCGCTATTGGCAACTTGGCGACAGCATATTTGGAGGCAAGGAAGAGTTGTATGCGCTTAGTTTAAATACAGAGATGGAGACACAGTGGGAGAAGCAGATCAAACGTGTGGAAACTTGCGCGTATATGCTAGAACCATTACAAAATCCTTGGCCGAGGACCCAATTGTTGCGGGAATTCGCTGTGTCGTAGATGCTGTCTGCAGCCACAAGTCAACCAAACTACATAGTTGTAGCGTAGGGACCACTGGTTGCCCCATGCATTTAATCTCAACCTGCAAAACAAAGTAATGAGCAAACATGGAACTTGTGAACTAGCATCATTTGTTTGCTTAGACATTAATAACAAGCAAGGAATTTCCGCCCGTCAGCAGCGCCAAAAACCATAGAAGGGCAATTAATTTGGGTCATTGCCATGAATTTTGGCCTATCAAGAATTGAAGCATTTCAGATGCAGTTCAGCTGCTCTTCCATTTAAAAACCTGCATTTCAAATGAGCACCCCATGGCCTAGAGCCTTATCTCTCACTTCTTTCAAACGAGATAAATTATAAATATGTACCATAACTTGGCTGTAGGCACTTGAGATGGTAAGCGAACCAAAATTAACATTGAGAAAGTACGGACCTCAAAGGACAGTTATGATGAATGAATAGGAAGATACTTCTATGAACTGTAAGTGATATGGATGTGAGGATATTTATAACTTACGAGGACATGGTTTTTAGTAATGAAACATGTAATGAACTGAGGAGGTAGGCAGAAAAACTTAAATGACATTTGGATTGTGAATAATAAATGGAAGCAGACAATATTAAACACCATTGGAGGCAAAAAATATTGTAAAGTATGCATGACAAGAACCAAACATAACGCTAAACTTCCAGGGTTGTTATTCCTAAGTTAAAGCAAAATCGTTTTAGATAAGTAAGAGTGAGAGTCACCTCCGTTTCACTGCTCAGCTCTAGCTTCTTCATTAAGTATTTTTGGATAAATGACACAGGTAAACTTCCATCCCTGTGGCAAACAAGAGAACATCAGATATCATAACAGCTAAACACCATACTCCAGTTTAGTTAAATTATGTCTCAAGAACTGTTACTGTTGGCAAATATACAGCAAACACATATCTTGCACAGACCCTCATCATCTATTACTAATCTAAAACCATTAAGTTAATCCATGTGTTCCATAACAACTAACAGCTGGGCATGTATATATCTTTGTTCATGTAAACTTCACCCACAGACACGTGTAGAACTGATTGACAATGCTAAGTAGAGAATCAGAATCACAGCACAAATCCTTATCAAAGATATGAGCTTCAATGAATTATTCCTTTGAAATGTGCTCGACATTCATGATCAAGACAACTGACTTAAACTGCAAAAGTCATATGCGGGCAGAGTCACAGATTCAGCTTCTTCAGGTACTTTTATTTTTTGGGTGAATGCATTAGACTGCAAGAGCACTTTATTTGAAAAGTGGGAAGGATAATGAAATGAAACTTTAGATGATATTCATATAAATACTTCACATTCCTTGACCATGAAAATTTCGTAAGAATAAAAAAAATTCTGTAAAGGTCATATACTACAATTATTGATCGGGGGAAAAGGCTGATCTATAATATTTTGGAATTCTTGAAAGCATACATGCACTTTGTTTAAAATCTACACCGGAGGAAAGTAGATCTATGGGGACTAGTCGTATAATGAAGAATATGGTAGGGAACGTTCTCCGTAACAGGGGATGAAAGTTATATGACAAGGGTAGTTAAAGGTTACAATTACACAAACAAACAAGAGAGAGATGCCCTTGCCTAAGACACGCCCCATTACAAGTGACACAGATTGAATAATGTCTGTGTGTTCAGGAGAATAAATGCAGATTAAAACTAACATTGAAGATGAAAATTTTTAGGAAAAATTGTAGATGACTACATCAAGCTACTTTTCTTCATATATTGCTAGTTGCATAATTAATCTTAAAATATACAATAGAAGAGCTCCAATTAAAGTCCAGTAGAATTTTCATCCAACCTCCTAATTCCTACACCAACCTGTTCCAACATCTTTCCAGGTCATCATTAAATGTTTTTCATCAGATAGGAACATACAAATTTGGACATTACTCCAGGAAATTTGTTATCCTTGTTACAGTTGATGGAATAATGAAGAAGCACAGCTAGTTAAATCAAAGTAATTACCTCCTTTTCTGCAATTCAACATTTTACTTGAAAATTACTTTATGGAAATACACTTAACACAAGTTTATATCTTTATCAACAAAGTTAAAAAAATCAAATACTTACTACTTAATAATGTGCAACATCATACATCTTATCAGTATTTTTCTTTTATTACTTTTTAAAACATGGAATAAATTAAACTAGAACATTGAGACGCAGGTGTATTGAGTCTAAAAGGAACTCACTTTATTCTTAAATAACTTGCAGGAATTTGGGGCATGGGTGCGTCTCCTTCCCTGAACATTAGATTTGAATTAGTGCATGAAAAACATATGCAAAAGAAAAATAAAAGGATTTATATAACATTTATAATATGCATCAAATTTTTGGTCATAAGATATTAGGTAAAGTTTAAAAGCTATGTTTTCTTACTGATCTTCAGAAGCTACTAAGGCGAACCAAAGTGGACCAGTTCTCCTTTTGAATGTAGCACTGTTTGCATCCAGAACAGCTTGAGGTGATATGCCTGGTTCTCCGAAAAGAGGCTCCCTTTTACGACGAACTTTGCGTGATTTATTAGGCTTTGCTGTATTCAAAGAGATAGGATCAGTGTCGCCTTTTTCGTTCTCAACTTTTGCTTTGCGCTTATTCTCTTTATTTTTGGATTTTGGCACTTGAGAGTCATTTTCATTTATTTGTACAGGTTCTAGTTTAGCATCAGACCCCTGCACACTAGACTTGAAAGATTTACTCCTACTTGCCACTTCTACTAAACAATTCAAAGGTTTCCAAAGATCCAATTTTGTTTCCCATGGTTCAGCTCCACTATCTGCCTCTTTGGTGCGTAAGGATGGGTTAGATTCAAGAGGGGACAAACTCTGCACGAAATAGAAAACAAAAATAATATAATTATATTGATAGATACCATCAGGTAAAAAAAAATGGACCAAGCCAATAGTAATATAAACAAGGGAAACAGACACGTATGTGACGGGCCAAACAAGAAAAACCTTATTGTCTCTCCCACCTGTCTGGTATTCTGAGTAAACTTGTTTGAAGTGTCTGGCGAGCTTGAACTCTCCGTATGATCTTCTACTGATTCCTCCTTTTTTACAGGCTTTTCAATGGCAAAACAAGGGGCTCGCAGACCGCTGGCCTTTCTAGTAGGTTTTGTTCTTCTCCCAGTCATGGTTACCTGTGTTGATACTCTGGGAGTGCTGACAACCAAAGATGAAAGTGATCTCTCCTTTCTTCTGGCTGGTATTGTTATAGAGGGAACAGCCTCAGGTGTTTTTTCCTTTCTTCTCTTCAAGGGGAAAATTTTAGCTCTTAAATCTTGTAAATTGTGGTCTGGCCTGGTAATCAAAAGGACTAGAAGTGAGCATGCAACAGTTCATAGGTTCACACCTATTTAATTAACCGTGCACCTTCTGTTATTTATTGTGTTTTAGCTGTGGGTTTTATTGCAGAAGGTTTATAAGTGGTTAATCCAAAACAATCTGTCCAAATCTATAATTACAGCAGGATCCGTTTAAAATAGAAATTTTGAAAATCTCTGATGAGATATAATTACAAGTACAAGATGGACATAAAAGTATCCAGCTTCATCAATGATTCATATAACTTAAACAAATACAGAATGCTAATGCATTTAATTTGGAAAAAAATTCTATTTTTATGCTAATCCTCCTTATTCGGTGCAACAATTAATTTTTCAAGTGAAAATTAAGTGGTGATTAGGTTGCAACTAATTACACATCATGTACATCCTTAATTTTCTATACCAGATACCATAAATAAGAAATGTCAAACAGGTAAGCTCTATAAAAGAAGCTACTAGCAATGCATGTGTAAAGAGGGCTGTAGCCAGCTAAATTATTAAAGAAAACGACACTGAATGAAAGTTACAGTCATGGAAATTTTCTTATGTGCAAGTTCACATGTACGTTATTATGGGAAGTTCCTCATATGCAGAAACTGGATTCTTGTGCAGTAAATTTTCATAAATTTAACATAATTCATGTAATCTTATCATGATAGCATCATCATTACATTGACAGCTCTCCTTGTATGTTGATGAACCATTACAATATAGCGACACCTGGTTGTTTAGCAACACCTTGTTCAACAACTTACGCCCATGTTGAAGTAAGAGAAGGGTAGTGCATTGTAATTTACATTAAGGAGTACAAGAGAGAAAAAGGGTAAAGGGAAGCTCAGGAGTCTGTCAAAGTCAGGTGGCTGACCTTAATTTCTCAAGGGGGACGCAACCCAGATCAATGTTGCAGATTGGACAATGTTCTAATTCCTCATCTGCAATTTTATCATAGATGCATTTCCTGCAAACTGAATGAAGTTATACAATATCAGAAATTTTTAGTGAGTTAAGAAATATCAAGAGAAATATAAGTTTGACATATCACATGACAAAGCTGTTAAATAAATATTTTTGCAACGTCCGTAAGAAAACCTTTGGGGCACAGTTACTTCATAAAGTCCTCACGACATTAAGCAAGAAATAAGGCATTAAAATGTGAGTAAATTGACTCCTTGGATTGGACGAAGTTTGCCCGCAAAAATCACACTAGAAAAGTAGAAAAAGAAAGAAAACTCCAGACAGTGGAAGATTAGTTAAACTGCACTGCAAAAATGCCATCTCCCAGTCGATACGCACAGCCGCCTCTCTTTACATTTTACAACTTCGCCAATGAAGAGGCTTCTCGGGAAGTTGAACACAAAAGATAACAACCTACCCCATCAATGAATTTTAAATGATGAGTAGCGAACACCTGGAGGTCTATTCTCTAATGGCCAAGATGTGGATGGAAATTGCATACTATGTTCGCTGCCCCCACACGTCTGCCTAAGCTAAAATCCAAGCTATCAAGTATGAACACGAAACACTTCAAATGCAAAACTGCCGCAGCTAAAATCCAAGTTTTCAAGTATGAACACGAAACTCTTCAAGTGTCAAAGGTTCAAACATCTTTACACCAATGACAGTAATGGAACAGCGTCATTGGACATTAATTTAAACCACTGGGCTTCTTCTACCATTCATGTCTTTACAGACAAGACATTGGTGAATGGAGGGAAAGAAAAAGGCGTACAGAGGTATTAAATTACCAAACACCCGCATCTGATTGCCGACAACTTCCCATATCGGGAAGAGAAAAAACAAGGACAACCAAGGGCGCGAAGACTACAAGATGCCGGAAAGATTCAAAATTTGAGAAATTAATCTCTAATTGATGACAAACGAACAGGATTGGCAGGGATAAGGCGAAAATTGGAATACTCACACGTATGAAGACATTCAGATATGGTGGTGGCGTCTCTGAACAACTTGTTGCAGAGTGGGCAAGTCATGCATGCTACAAAAGTTTCCCTCTTCACTTTTACCACCTGATTCGCCATCGTTTTGTTATCAGCCCAATCAGTCCCCTCTCGTCTACGTATCATCCACCCAGTGCATGCTAATGGTAAGCGCGTACACAGCCCAAATTTACGTCCATCTCGTTATAATCACTTGCATTAAACTGAAAAACACAACAACCCAGAAAGATAATGAGGGGCAGAGAACGAGAAAGCATGGAATAAAATGCATATGACGCGTGCGTGGAATGAAGAAACGTACCAACAGATCGGTGAGGATAGCTAAAGAAAGGTGCTTGAGAATTTTGGGGAGTTCTTGTAAAGTGGGTGCGCTTGATTTGTGGAGATTTGACGTGGGGTTTAGCGGATTTGGAAGGAGGGAGTTTTCGATGATCTGAATCGAGGGGGGGCGTCTTCGTTTCGTCCAAAAGAGCATGAATCGGGAGTGTGTTTTCCTTTTTCCTTACGAAGTTTTCAAACAAGTATTTAAAGACGCCTTCGACACTTCAACTAACGACAGCTAGAGTTATGGGGAGGGATAACATGCGCCGAGAGTGCCTTTAGTTTCAAAGATGCGCACTGGGTTTCGTGTAATGGACGGCCAATTTCGCCAGCGAGTGGTGCCGTCCAAAATACGCTCATCTGTTAGCATTAGAATTAGAAGTAGATAATAAAAATACGTTTTGTGAAAATGGTTATTCATCACACATTCCACATCATATCCCATGCCCATGCAATATTGAATATATAAATTTATGAAGGGTCATAATATTCATAATAAATAATATGACTCATTTGCTTAGCTCTATTCAATAAACATCCTGAATCAATTAATGTATACTCCTTTATTTTATTTATGAATTATTTTCAATATATTTCACTATAACCAGGAAAAAATCAAAAAATCTTGATAACTTTATCCTGAAATAATTTATTTTTCATACTTTATCCAGAGAAAGACTCCTGAGATTCTCAAACTTCATAAAGTGATTGATAAGTAAACATGATTTACGTATCGTACCCTAGATAACACGAGAAATCTGTTTGGTTTGTTTAATTAAAGTTCCTGCGTGTATTAGCATTTGTAAATTGTAAAAAAGTCCAAAAAGTAATTCAGACTAGTGGGTTTAATTAATAGACACTTCCCAGTTGGGAACAACATAAAGTGGTATTGCTCAGAGTCGTCGGAGCTTATCTTCTGGCGGAGGTAGACTTCAGTCGATTCATACGAGTTTTGCAAGGACGAAGAACCATTTCCATGTCCTTGCTGTTTCCTATAGATAGTGTTTTTTTCGCCGAAAGAAAGGGTTTTGCCCTGTGACTACTAATTGGCTATGATGCGTGCATCTGCTCGTGGATCCTCGCATTACAGAAAATAAGTTTGATGAGCATCTTAAGATATTGTTCTCTAAAATACAAAGAAAAATTAAATACCTTGTTCATCCTGGCCAATGATGAGTTATCCCTTTCAGTCATATGTGAATTGAAATGTCGAGAGTCACTCATAATACCTATGATTCAAGAGGTCGCCTTCCATAGATGCAACGTAAAATCAAGAACCCTGTCCTAGCAATATGCACTTTTGCTCGTTCGGCCAAACCAACTTCTTAACATGTCAAGATTTCGATCTTGAAAAAGGAATCTATATGGATGCACGTACGCCTGGTAAAGTACAGATTACGAAAACTAAGAAACGCAGTTTCAACATCCAATGAAAGCCAGCCAAGCAAGATCTGTTGACGGACAGGCTCCAGAATCAAACTTTATTCGCAATGATGAAAATAGCCCTGAGATTCAACTCCAATCATCAGTTCATTGTTCCTTTTTCAAGCAACCTATGGATGTATATCAATTCATAATCGTTACTGCCATTTGAAATAGGAAACGGGAACCGAACTTCGGGTGATCACAGTCGTTAGCTGCAAATGCAATGGTGAAAGAGACATCTTTATTTAAATTTGTTATGCTTTGGCCTTTGTGCTTGTCCCTGGCCATGGTAACTAGAATGACTCAGATATGGAGCCGCATGAAATTCAGTTTGCTTCCGGGAGAACGATTGTTTTATCCTTGAATGTTACGACAGAGATTTCAGACAACCTCGTACAATACCACATGGCTGTAACAATATTGACTGGTCCAACATGCATGCTTCTTCGCCTGGCCGTTGCGCTCAACTCTTTTCTCTTGTTCTCAAGCAGTTCTCTGTTTCTGATAAAATCATTTGTACCGTTCATTAAAAAAAAAAAAAAACATTGATACCACTTCAGAATTTACACCCATAACTCTTTAGATGCTTGGTCAATTTATATATAGCTACAACATTTTTTTCTTTTAATGTTTCATACTTCCAGGACGCGCATAACACGCAGCCATTTTAGCCTATAAAGATGCATTTTTTTCTTTGTTTTTTCTGGGGGGGTTACCAGATGAAGTTTGTTACTGTGTATTGGTGTATATCAATAAAAAAATTTTTTTTACTGTATGGCATCGTGCATGTTGACTGACTTTGTCATGAGCATTTAATTTATTGTATGACCATGAAGCTAGAAACGATGGTAGATTTTGAGTATTTGATTACATGACCATCCGGAGGAACATAAGCCTTGAGCCCTTGAGTTTCGGTAGATGGCAGTGGCTGAAAGAAGTTAATTGAAGCGCAATAGCATCTAGATTCTAGAGTAGGCATCCAGTTTTTACATTTTTGTAGGGGAAAGCGACGGGGACGCACCTGGAGTCATCATGACCTTATCCCAAGCTCGATCATATTCAGAAATCATAACTCAGTAAATTTCATCATTTTTTGGGGCCTTGTCAGTGGAGATAAAATATCGATCATGGAATGGATTATGTGACACGTGGGCAGCAGCCATTGGATTGCTGCAGATAGCTATCTAACGAATGGCCTCCAATCTATCTTTGTTTTGTGGTGACGGGGACTAACAATATTAATTTTGACATATTTTGCTGAACCCTTACTCTCAGCCACTCTAGCCATTCGTTTTGCATTCCAAATTCATCAGCGCAAGTTACAGCGGGCAGAGCAATGGCAACCATCTCAGCCAGCACCCCAACCACGTCCATCGCCCGCCCAGGTCTGGTTCACAAGCGACCTGTCGGGGTTTCTGCCTCTCCTGTTCTCGGTAAGTTGCTTCGTCGTGTGATTTCTCATAGCCGTTAAACAGAGCTTCGTCTTGAAATTCGAACTAAGTGATGCTGCAAAAATGGTTGGATAGGGTTGCCGGCAATTGCTAAGGTGGGAAGAGTAAGATGCTCCATGGAGGAGAGGAAGCCCTGTGAGTCAAACTTGGGGATGGGGGCATCTTTGATGGCGGCCGCGAGCGCTGCAGTGATGGCGAGCCCGGCCATGGCTTTGGTGGATGAGAGGATGAGCACCGAAGGAACGGGGCTTCCCTTTGGCCTCAGCAACAACGTTCTAGGTTGGATCCTCTTCGCCGTCTTCGGTCTCATTTGGGCTCTCTACTTCGTCTACGTTGGGGATCTTGAAGAAGATGAGGAATCCGGATTATCCCTCTAAATTTCCGTTTGATGCCTTGTAGAAATTCCGGAAATTGAGTCCCTTTATGTTGTGTTAAATCAACCTTATCAATCTATTCTCAGGCATCAATTTCTCATCTTTGAACTCCAAGATCATTTCTTCATTATTGCTTCCCTGTTAATTTGCTGCTCGCATGCCTGTGTTCTGTTCCAAACTAAAACTAGTCTCTCTGTTTTTTTTTTTGTTCGGGGGGCCAAAACTAGTCTCAGTTATAATTATAATCACTGGGATTAAATCAGTAAGGGAAAGCAGGATCCAGCATGCCGTGCAAACAAATTTCCCATAAACCCAAGGGGAGGGTCGTGTTTTATGTATCTGATTTGTCCCTTCTATATATACCCAAAACGAGCGAATATTATTAAAGCCAAATGTTCTTGAACGAGTTAATCTGTCTGTAGGCTTGTTGGCTTGTTTAGCTGGCAGTTTGGCGTGGCGAGTGTTCTAAGCTTCGAATCCCATATTTTAAGCAGGAAAATCTTTCTACTGCCCGTTCAAGATTCGAGTTGATTCCCCTTATCTGGAATGAAAGCTGCAAATCACCATAACATGATTTGGTTCTTGCAGGATCAGTGGACAGGAATATCATCAACGAACCTCGATATATTACCAAGGATATCGACATAACTTATATTAATGACATGATCAAATAGGCAGGAATAAGATTTGCTTCAGATCCTGGCTAATGTGATGCCAGCGCTAAAACGTGAATGCTAAAACACTGTCCCTCGTCAGCCACGTGATCATAGCTGTCCGGATTTACAAGTCATTAGTGTTAAAGTTTCATGGCACTTCGGTTCCCGAACCAAAGAGGTGCCCTGTTAACGAGTAACAAGTTAACAACGCAGCATGGGCATGTTCACCATCCGCTATGACTGTATCTCGTGTAAAAACCAACAAGCCTGATAAACAAAACTCTTAACAGGTCATTAATACATCCAGCGCGTTAATGCATCATCAACAATGATTTTGTATATATGATTCACCCGGGTTGGATTTTAAAAAAGAAAAGGTACTGATGATTGAAGAATGTGTGCTTGAGTTTATAACTATGTAATGCGTACGACATACAATTCTTTCAGATTTTGGGGTAAAATGTGAAAAAGGCCGGGGCTAAAGTTGCTGGTGGACTGATGAAACGATGATCATTTAACACGTCAGGAGAGGTGTAACATCCGATGGAGAACTCTTACTGGACCTGTCATCTTAATAATTCATGCATCTAACGCGTGGTCTTTTAAAAAAAGATATCCCTGAAGGCGTTAAGCATGTAAAGAAATTTATATGCAATATATAATCCTGCAGTGGTCATTTTTAAATAGGAACCACCGATGTGTATTGATTGAGACATCAGATAAGTTCAACAACCATTAAACAAAAATCAAAACGTGATCCAGGAGCTAGTGGCATTATTATATTCCTTGGTAGGTTTATACTCTGTACAATGTTGACTGAGGCAGACACTTGTTTGAAAATTACATGCAGAGGGTAAAGTGTACATGCGCGGGGGTTGATGCCAGTGTTCAAACATCAGAGGAAGCAAGGCCTAATTGGGAGAGATGATGATGAATATCGTGAGGATGATCGTCAAGTTTAGGGCGTTCAGGCTGCATCCACCGTCCGTCCCTGTTCTTGATCATGCCCTTGTTCTCGTCTTGCCTCCAGCTTGGCGGCACCAAGTAATGATCTTTCAAGAAGTCGCATGCCTTGTTCACCAGTGCAGGGTCCCTCCCGCTCGCTAGCACAAATCTCCGCCCTCTTCCGTGGTATCTGCGCCCATCACCCATCATCGTCATTCATAGTAAACAATAATTTACAACTACACGTCGTCTCTGCTGGCCAATACATGCACCATACTCTCTATTCGCCACCCATCCTTTAATCAACTACCCACCTATTTTTTAATTTCAAGTTTCGCTTCATAAATTGACACCCCCAATCACTATTCTTCAAAACGCAACTTGCTTTTTTATTTGTTTATTCATTTTAATCCTTATGCATCTCTAGAAATCCGATCGTTGTCTTAATCCGAGACTCCGACTTTTGACCTTTGGTTAAAGGAGGCATCTCATAATCCCGACGGCACGACGGCCGGGAAACGGGATATTAATGTACTATACTTGGCTCCGTTTCTGTCCTCAGCGATAACGACAACATTTGTTGGACAGAGAGACCTCGAAACTGGATTTCATCGTAATCTCGATCTCGACTAGTCTTCCACATTTTGATCGGTATTTTATCCTCCTCTAGCTTGGTCTTCAACATCGGAATGAACACCAAAAGAATTACTACATATTTACTTAGGAACGAGTTAATTTAAACGAATCGAATTCTAAAATGGGTGGATGAATGGTGTCTATGTATATAAGCACGCAAGAAAATTAGAGCTTGATGGAAAGATGCAAGGATAGTATATAGTTGAACAAATACTAACCCGTCAAGCAAATGCAAGAGAGCCTCTAAGTTATGGGCACAAACAGGATCGTTGGTGGGCTTCAGAAACGGCGAGTTGTGGTGGTCCAACCGGAACTCCACCCCGACATGTGAATAGCTCCACGGCAAAGCCTCGGCCAACTTCATCACCATCGACGGCACCTGCTCGTTGAACAGAAACCCAGGTGACTTGGGCACAATATCGTGCTCATTGAACACCCTCAGAACCTTCACTCCCAGCCACTCCAACCTCTCCCTGAACCTCACGTTCCCCACTCTCGGACCCGAAAATGAAAACACCGAAACCGGCACTGCTCTGCTATCCTTCTTCACGTTCAACCCCGTCTCGACTATGTCGTAAGCGCTCAATATAGCCAACGCGCTCCCCAGGCTGTGCCCCGTGATCGTTATGCTCAGTTCCTCGTCTCTGTACATTTCCAGCAACCGCTTTACCTCCGTCAAGATCTGCTCCCTCGCCGAGTATTTACAGAACCGGCACGCACCGTCCTTCGAGGTGTAAAGATCCACGAAACCAGATTCGACTTTCACGGATTGGTCCGGGCAGGGGATTTTGTTGCCGGAGATGGGTTTGAGGAAATCCATCAAGTCCGCGATCCATTCCAACCGGGTCACTGTTCCTCTCCACGCAATTGTTATGTCTCTGCGACCAAGTCGTTTGGTGGTCTGGTCGTCAGAGACGGCGACGTATCCTGCCCAGTTGGCGTTGTTGCTCCACATTCTAGGGTTTAGGGACTTCTTGAAGAAGTTGGGGAGGTCGATGTGAGCGGTGGCGTAGAGGTAGCGCGTGACGTCGTAGCCGAGTTGAGTCATACCCAAGGACTCGAAGAACGTGCGACGGGTGAATCGGCAGCTTCCGCAGCACTTGGAAAAGGGTCGTAATCAAAGCGTCGTAGCAGGCTTGAGCCATTTCGCCGTAGCGAATCAGTTCTGAGCGGAGAAGTGTATCCATGGGGTCAAGAAGCCCAACCCAGTCGTCTTCGCCGTGGATGTCGCGCCAAACATCAGCTAATCCTGCTTCGGTCGATTCTTCGAGATGCACCTCGTCAACTTCTTGTAGTCCTTCGTCTCCGTCAACTCGTACTCGTTCCCTCTCGAGCTCTGCGATCATCGATGACAGGGACGAGTTGGATTCGGACAAGACCTGGCATGTAGTATATTTTCTTGTAGTCAATTCTTTGGCTATAGATAGAGACTTACTATGGGCGCGGGACAACGGTGCTGGGGATTTGTTGTAGGATTGGAAGTCAGCCTGGACTTGGAGCCTGGACAAGGGAATGACAGCGCTAGAGATCGAAGCGGCCATTGGAGATATTGAGGCAAAGCTTCAATAAAGTCGGGAAGGAGGTGTGCTGCTGGAGGAGCAAATATATATATATATATATATATATGAGACTGCTGAAAGAAGAGCACATCGATGAAAATTTTGCTCTGCACACAGTTCACGTGGGTTATTTTGTAATCAGATAATCTCGATATGGTATCCATGTACTAAAATATGACAGCTATAACAGTATAAACTATTTGCACGGAGCGACAGTCTAGTAAAAACAATGATGCCTAATCAGTCTCAAGAAGGTTCCATAAGGCGGATACGTGGTCGCCGGCCGTCATAATCTTTTGAAGCGCATATATATATATATATGAACAGGAGCCACAGTTAATTTTATTTGGACTTAGCGTATAGACTATTAAACACACGTGTCATCGACGTTCGAGGAGCACATGGATCTCTCCTGTCCTTTGCTAGCAAGCTCTAGGAAAGCACAGTCTTCCATATCATACCCAACCCAAGAAACCGAGGAACTTCGCATGACAACCTGTCACTGTGAGAAATGAAGTAATATGACCACTCACGCAGAGCCGATCTCCATATAACCATATAATCAGCAATTTAAATATTTCAATTTAACACCTACTATAGATGCTTTGCGCGCGCGCATACATATCGACGGACTTGCATGCATCCAGTTAAAACTGGCTTTTTAAGTTTTGTATGCCTTAAGGACCACTGGTATATTAACAGGCGTGCTGAAATGTGGTCTACCTACAATTCGACATAAATATCGTGATGCCAATCATTAATTAGTCGGTCTTCATTAAGAACATATAAGGGTCCAGCGTCAGTTATTCGTTGCTACATAGTGATAATTCTCACCACTGCGAGGGGCATTTCTAGCAATAACAACGATTCCCGCCGGAATTGGCTACGCCACGACTGCCGTGTTATCTTGGTCAAGTCCTAATTTCTTCGAGCAAGTATAAAGTTTTGCGTTCATTTAGGCGTTAATGATAAGCTATACGAGTAAAAATCTAAAATTGGCCATGGTTACCCTAGGAAGGATGATATAAATCGCTTAGCTAATAATGTTCGCACAGCACGAGCAATACTAGCTGCAGTTAATAGAATTGCTGCTTGAGTTCAGAAGGACGGTGTAATATTTGTTTAGCATCATTAAGGATGCTTAGATTAGATATATTTGTAGTAATTACAGATTTAGTGCATAATCTGTGCATTACACGTGAGTCACCCAAGCTCGAGCCATTTATTTATTATAAATTACAACACAAATAGTTATCTAATGCTCCATCCGTTCCTTATTATAAGAGACAAATAACTAAATTACGTTGATAAAAAAAACAGTTAAATTTAGTTGAGAACAATTAATATGTCAAAAGTATAATATTTTTTTTCCAACAATGCCCCTATTTAAGGAGAGAGAGTGTGAGAAAGAACAATTAAATTATTAAAAGAAAGAGAAGTGGGAGGGAGGGAGAGTATGAGTTAGAGACAGAATAAATAGAGGTAAAATAGGAAATCAATACAAAAAAATAGAGACAACTTTTAAGTGTCTCTTATATATTGAAACATGCCATAAGCATCAAATGTCTCTTATAATAAAGAACAGAGGGAATATCTATTCAATGCTACGAAATGGGCAAAAGGGTCAAAGGCTCTGGATGTGGCAATAAATTGGAGTGAGGGGAGGGTAAGGCGGAAGGGAATTGTAAGATTCTTGTTGACAGCGTTCTGGATAATAGGAGGCGTGGATGTGCGCGTATAGCGGAGGAGGACATTGGACGTAAATATATGTCTGTCTAATACTCATCTATCTCCTGTGTGAAGGCAAAGGAGGACCAGCCTGCGACCTGGGTTGCGGTCAATCCCTCGAGGAGGATGTGCAATGAACGCGGCTGAAGGAAGGCAGGGCAAAGATAAGGAAGTGGCTATAGAGGGGAGCTCCAGGTAAATAAGGGAAGGCACTGGTTTAATGAAGGCTGGCAAGTAATTGTCCTGAATCTATACTCCTTTCCTAGTCTTTGTTTAGTCTTTGTTTACTCTGTGCTTGGTGGTCTGCGTTGTACTATTGTGGTCCTAAATATAAGACTTGTTTAACTAATTTGATTAAATTAAATAAGTTAGATAAGTTAGTTGATTATAAAAAATATGACATGTTTTTCCTAAAATACCATAATCATCTTTCTTAATATATTCCCTCCTTCACTTACTTGATTATAGGTTTCATATTTATGATCAAAATTAACTTAACAATTAGATCCTATATTAAGAATCACGGAAGTATTATTTTTCTAAGAGGACAATTGCAACATCACTCTTTCTCTCCCTATGGAGGAGGAGACGCGTATATACCATTACGAGTAGAACTTGCAACCTCTCGTCTCATGGAGCAGCATGTGTCCTTGAGTTAACATTAAGAGTCCATTGGCTCCTAAATTTGTTTGACCGCGAGGCATGTGTTAGACAGCAACGATGAGTTTTTTCCCAAGGGCATTCTTTTTTGTTTTGACTATTGGAATATGTCTGTTATTTGGTTTATGAGATTGATAAAATTAGAGTTTAAATTTAACTCTCTTCTGATTTTGGGCCTCAAATTTAAAACCAAGAGTTTTTGTTTCTGAAATTTGAAGCTGATAGTCCTAGTTTTGTTTTTTAAAATATGATTTCATTTTGATTCTAGTCATTATTTTAGGGCTAAAAATACTAATTCAAAAATTAAGAATATTTAGACGAACTAAAATGAAGATAAATTTTAAAAATTACCACCGATTTTGAAAATCTATTTTCTAGTGCTAAAACCACTGACTGCAAAATTAAAAAACCATGAGATTTCTAAAAAGTGACATCAGGGTTAAAATTAACTTAGCTTGGCCTTAGAAAAAGCGATCCTTGCCAAGTGCCAACTGCCATCAGGAAATTTTGAGTCATGTCTATTCATTATTCTTTAAAAGTCCAAAGATGGGAAGTTAAGTGTTCCACACGCAATTACGTCAGGGCAGGCAGATGTACATGTAAAATACTTAAATGTAACGGAAGCAAACCAGAAAAAGTTGAACAGAGGGGAGCCACCAAAATGGCGCGAACTCTCCCGCGCTGTTTATTATTTCACTCCCAGCACCCTGCCCATCCTTCCCCGCCAGAACACTCCCGCTATGCAACAACACCAGCCCAATTTCGCCACCGCAGGCTCCGTCGCTCCCGCCGGCGCTTCCGGCACCAGCTCCGATCACAAGCGCGGCAAAAAGCGGGGAAGCTATAACTGTGGTCGCTGTGGTCTGCCTAAGAAGGGCCATAACTGTCACGTTAACAGTCCCATTCCTCCGTCTGCTGCGACCCCTATCGATTCTTCTGTATCCACCTTTTCTGCCGTTTCCGAGTCTCCAACCCGTCAGCCGCCGCTCCGACAGCCTTATTCGTATCTCCGTCGGGCATTGTCATTCGATGATGCCGAAAACCAAACCGGCGGATTCGATCCGCTGGAACCCGACCATCTAGACGCTGGATATCCAGATTCTTTTAACGTGGATTCGTGCGGGTGGCCAGTGAACATTCTATGGGACGTGCTGCGGAGACTGCCGCCGACGGGGCTTTTGTCGGCCGCGAATGTGTGTAAAGGATGGAATGATACGGCAAGAAGGGTGTGGAGGGCGGCGGAGGAGCTGAGGCTTAGGGTTCCGGTCAAAGCTCAGCTCGGGTTTGTTGCATCGATTTTGCAGAAGTGTACAAGTCTTGCGAGGCTCTCTCTTAGAATGGAAAGGTGTGGAGTTTGTCTGATTCGCCGGTTCTTCAGATCAGCAGTTCTTCGTTGCCGACTCTGTTTTATTTAACTAAATTAACGAAGTTAAACTTCATAATCTAAGACATTGAAACTTCGCTGGGGAATTAGTGATCAGATGTTGCAGGATGCAAAACATAAAAGGCGGCATGAAAGATCGAAAACAAGAGTTCGATGTTTAATCTATCAACGAAAAATGATAAAAATCCTAAATTATTTTTATTTACAAGCAACGCTGGCAAGATACCAGGATGAGCTATTAGTAACGGAGGGGGAATCAGGATTTAAAATGAGACTGAGACTGCCAGACAGTTTCCTAACCAAGATCCATAATTAGTGTATTTACTTGGAACTGTACTAAAACTTACTGCTTTTTTGACAATGCTGCTTGCTGCACGGAATTTTTTCAAGAAAATGTTAAATTTATATCCACTTTGATTTTGTAGATCTAACACATTTTCCTTGATACTGCAGTAACGTTGATTCAACGATGCTGGCTTGCATTGCATTCTCGTGTCCCAATCTGGAATTTATGGAGATCTCAACATCTAATGCGGCAATCAATCGTATCAATGGGTATTATTCATGATTTTATCCTTTGTTTTCGAGCTATGTTCTAGATTTATATGGAAAACGAGCTTCCTAATTTGTGAGCGTCGTGCTATGTGTTTGTGTAATATATGTTTCCTTCCAGTGTAGATATATCATAATGTCGTGTTTCAGTGTTTTGCCTTCGGGATTCTTTATGTCAAAGATGAATGGACAACTCAATGACTCGTGTGTTTGTGTTTTTGCCTTCGCTTCCAACTGTTTTTTTTTTTTTTTTGCGCTTTGGGCCATTCTATTTCAGTTTACGATGTTTGTGTCATGCAAGATCAACTAAATTAAATGCTTCGTTTATCTGGGCACATGGTTTATTTATAATTTGGAAAGTGCAGGGAAGAATTAGGTCGATTTGTTGCTGATAAACAAAGCTTAAAAATCCTGAAAGTGGAAGGCTGTTCTAATCTTGGGGGTTTTGTACTCTGTTCGTCAAGTCTTACTACAGTCTGGCTATCGGATCTATTCTCGCTTTCTAAGATGGTGATTGCTTTCCCTTTCTTATTTAATTTTGTAGGGTGTGATCATTGTCTAATTGGTGCTTTTTCTCTAGGTATTTAACTGTCCCCAGTTAAGAGAGATTTCCTTGGAATTTTCCCGCAAAGAAACTGATAGCACTGATCTCACCACTGTGGTTGATGGTTTAGGAAGAAGTTGCCCGAAGTTGCAAAATATACATATAGCTTCAGCTCGGCTTTCTCATGCTGCCGTGCTTGCTCTTACGGCTGCTCAGTTGAGGTTCGTCAGAATCCTGGCACGGTGGCTGTTCTGTTCTGCAGTTATTGGCAAAAGCTATCTACATTTAGGTTCCTCATATACTAGTTTATGAAACGCAATGCTCTGAGTTTTGATACTCCATCACATGCCTGTTCTTTAGTGTAACAAATTACATTGGTTTTAGCTACATCTTGTAACGAGAAACTAAATTCCATATAACAAGCTTCTGCTTAAATGTCTTCAGATTTCATTTCTAGTAAGCCACATTTTAGACAGCTGTAACTTGCAAAATCCACTCAGGAAGCTTGATGAAGCTTGTTTCAATGTTTTGTGTTAGGGGTCTGCGAATGCTTTCACTTGTTCTTGGATCTGAAATAACCGATGCTTCTGTTGCTGCAATCACCTCCAACTATCCAGATCTAGAATTGCTTGACCTCAGCGGGTATGTTCCTGGAAAATGCAATCAAGTCGGAGACATAAAATATTTCATAGCAACTCGCGCAACAAATAAATTTGATAGGAAGTCCAATATAAACACCAGAAGTTCAAATAAACTACTTTTATTTACCTTTCTTTATCCTGCTTTAGAAATATGTTCAACTGCTCACTTCGGATACAGATCTAGCGTCAGTGACAGTGGCATTGGAATGATCTGCAATGTATTCCCAGAAACATTGTCAAGACTCCTACTTGCTCTCTGCCCAAATGTGACTTCAAGTAATCACCCTTTATATATATATATTATATATATATATAGATATATGTTCAAATGCTTCACGAGCTTGCACATTTGTACACTTTTCTACTTGCTAATCTCCTGTTACGTTTCAGGTGGCATACAATTTGCTACAGCTCAACTGCCGCATCTAGAACTTATGGACTGTGGCATGACCATATGTGATCCTAATTGTGAAAATCGCATGGCTGATAAAAACAACCGTGAATTACCGAAAGCATCTAGTATAAAGTTGCCGCTTGTGAACCAAAAGTTAATTATCAAACACAGCCGTTTGAAGAAACTCAGTTTATGGGGCTGTGCTGGCTTAGATGTGAGTTCCATTGTTCTGAAGTTCATTGCATGTCTGCGCTCCGGCTTCTAAATCCTAATCGTTTCCCCTCTCCAATTAATATACAGGCATTATATTTAAACTGCCCCCAACTGGATGATCTGAATCTAAATTCTTGTACAAATTTGCATCCAGGTAGTCATTTCATTTCCCTGTACCTTGGCTAGTTATCAGGGGAAATTGAAACCATTTTTTCTAGGAATTTAAAAATGCAATACGATTCTCTTGGGGTAAAATACGATTGATCGTTTTTTGTAACTTTTCAGATAGACTGTTGCTTCAATGCCCCAGTCTAGTAAATGTGCATGCATCAGGTTGTCGGGATATCTTAGTAGGGGCTATCCAAAGTCAGGTAACAGAGCTTATCTTCGGAATTTTCCTTCCGTTGTTACATCTTGCATTCTCAGACATCAATACAATAATTTTCCCCCCTCATGCTATTCAAGAAAGAGATTATCACTTGAGTTTTTTACAAGATTATATTTTATGTTTGAAATAAAATAAATGAGACTGTAATTCCTCAGTAAGTTGTAACAACAAACGTTCTCACCATCGTGTTGGTTTTGCAACATTTTGGCAGGTCTGCAACGCTTTTACTGCTATGGAAAGCCTATCACCTAGTAAACGACTACCTGATGGCTCCAAAAGGATCCAGGTTCCTTATTTTCACAGTAGCGAGGTAATGCTAAAAGTAATGTTGTGGTTCATGTTTCACTAAAACCTTTTCATTGGTTTCTGGAAGTTGATAGTGAACTTAGCAGACAGAAATCTCATCTCAATTTCATGCTGGGAATCTGAAACATCTCACACATACATAGAGCGAACTTTAAACCTAACATATGGTTTTATTCCTTTTGCAGTCGCCTGATGAGACAAAAAAGCGTAGGAGAATTGAGAGACGGCTTTGTAATGTGATTGTAGACTGATCTTTCCCTTGCCTTGATTATCCTGTATACGTGTAATATCTTGTCATCCAATCTCCAAATGCAGAATCCCCTAGGTGCCGAATAGGTTAATTCTCTTGTTTGGGTCAGAATTAATACCCTTGATTATCCTTGTTGCCGCTACCTGGTGTTCATGATCATCCTCGTGATCAGCAGTCAGTGTAGACAACTCTGAATGGCTCCTCAATATCTATTAGAATAAATTATTTTTTCGGACGTTGCTCTTCAATTAATGCTTCAGGTGATGCGATGCTAAAATGGAATTTGATTTCCTCAATTGTTTAGTTGATCCAATTGCTTCAGGTGTTGCTATTTATTGGTACAGATTATATTGCAGCGTAATGAATTGAAAAGGAAAATAGAATACCAGAAGTGTTTTTATTATTGAAAAATAATACTTGCATTCTTCTTCTTTTTTATATATATATAGAAAGACAATTTCATTCAAAATAAGTAAAAGATTACTTGAAAAAAAAGTAAAAAGAAATGAAAATTATTTGATTAAAAAATTATGGTTATAATGAATATTGCAGTGTTTTCCTTCTCTTCTTTTTCTATTATCAAACGAAATTCATGCTAGCTCGAATTATTATTTGCTAAACTGGTTCTAAATTAACAAATCAATTGCGATAATTTTTGCAACATCAGTTGTAATTCATCAAATAAATAGTGTCAAATGTTGAAAAATAAATTAAAAAAATAATTTATTGGAATTTCGTATTGGATTTTTATGATTCCAGGATATTTAACCTTTTGTCGTAGCCAGAAATTTCTACCATTGAAATTTGAACAGCGCGTTACAACTTTTATGCATGGCTAGCAGCATTCATGCAGCTTGCGTGCCCTTGTAATCCTTGCGGGTTCCTTCTCGGCTGGCTAAAAACAAAAGAGTCAAGGGGGAATGAATCGGACGCCGCAAAAACAAAGCGCCGTTGCCGGGGATCGAACCCGGGTCGCCCGCGTGACAGGCGGGAATACTCACCACTATACTACAACGACTTGTTGGTTGTAGGGGCCTCATGAAATTTTATTAGCTAAATCGACATCGATCACACCTCCTACCCGCCACCATTACACTGTCAGGCCTGGCAAAACGCACTGTCCTTCTTTCTCCGAGGTGGTTCGACAATGGAATTATCATTCTCTTCAATCACGCCAGGAAGAGGTCGGAGATGTCCTTTGGCAGGTCTGAGGTCTCTTTCTTTGTAAACCAACTGGATTTCATCTATTGTGGCTCGCATCATCTTTTTCAGATGAACATTCTAATACGTTAATTATATATGCCAATAAAACATTTTCTTAATGATCGATGCCCCCTTTACTGATCGCTTTTCTTTTCCGCTACCTTTGTTATATCAAATGTCAACTGCCGGTTGAATTCTAAATAGAATTGAACCAAACAACATAAATTAATACGGGCTTTGCCCTGCTAAACAGATGGTGTCTGGAAACGAGGTGATCTTTGGCTTCCGATGCTGACATAGGACCTCATAGCGTTTTATTTATGTAATTAAATTTTCAGATGTGCATTACCCTTTTCATTACGTACCTGCAGAATAGTGTAATTCAAAACTCACCATTTCTGCTGCATGCTGCCTGTATACTTCCTTCTATCTACAGGGCCTTTGCACCGAGGAAGAGTTAAGACGCCTCAGTGGAATCCTTGCTTACTGTCCATCGGACGACCTAAGAATTTTGTGCAACTATCATCTAGGCGATCTGGCTATTGGAAAAGGAAGGATGCGCACTTTAAGGTGAGTATTTCTTACTACGTCTAAGTTTTCCTTGGTGTGTTGACATCATAGTTGTGCTTATTTTGTCCCTTTATGATGTCACATGCTCCCTTTTACCATCTCAGGTTTTATGCGGTCAAATGGACGAAAGGGGAGTTGTTCATGTAGTAGAGGGCAGGTATACCATCTTTTATACTTAAATGATATTCCTTTCAGGACCACGAACCAGAGTTCTTGGCATGGATATGTTACAGACTTCTGAGGGAAGCAGTATTCTTAGCATTTTCTGTCGTACGTTCTTTTTCGGAAGCAAAGAATATTTATTATTCGCCCCTGCAGAAAAAAGTGTGCCTTAAATTCTGAGGTTTTTGTTGAGTTGATTCTGTTTCTTCTATCTGTTGTCTTACAGTTGTATTGATGAGATATATGATGCACTGGCTAAACGTCTTCTACCTACTGCAACAACGACATCAAACTCTAATTATAAGTAAGTTCTAGCTTAGGGAATCAAGATAAACTGTCTAAAATTAGCTAGTGACTACTGCCGTTGTTCAATAAATATGTGTTTCCCAAAACAAGTACAATCATAGTACCATAAAATGCGAGGGCTCCCAAGTGAGTCCTATGTTCGAAATTTGGTGGTTGGTACTGGGTGATAAGTGTTGGATCCAATTCATTTTGTCATTCTGCTGAAGTACTCTAGCTTTATTATCATTATATGTATAGGTAGCTCTATTATTTTAATCCTTTTCGGGGTTGGCTGGTAAAATAGTTGAAGCACTTTGTGAGATGTTATCTAGTCATATATTTTGTTGAGTGATTTTCTGGTGTAATCTATTGCTTTCAAGTTGATCATTGTTTTGATGATGATGCCACTTAGATATTTGGTTGCTCTGGCTGGTCCTCCTGGTGCCGGAAAAAGTACTCTAGCACATGAAGTAGTCAGTCGTATAAACAAATCATGGCCAGAGAAATCTACTTCATTAGATTCTCAGGTCAAGCCTTCTGATGTTGCAACAGTGGTTCCAATGGACGGTTTTCACCTTTATCGTTCTGAACTAGATGCAATGGAGGTTACCTTTCTTTACTGTGCTCTTTATTTTGGTTATCCTTTAGATTGTTCATTGCTAGTTCTTCCATTTTCCCAATGATGGGGAATCCAAGTGAATGCAGTTTTAATCTGTCACGAATTTCTCATTGATTTTTTCACCTTGAGATTGAATTAGTCCCGTCTATCTTAATTAGGCCTTTACTTTTATGTATCTCAATATAATTGAGTGCATGTTATATGCATATTCATGAGCCAGATTCCTAATTTATTGGTGATCATGTGGGCGATTGTAATTTTGATTGAATATTTTTTGTGCAATAGGACCCACAGGAAGCTCATGCCAGAAGGGGAGGTGAGATACCTCTTAATTGCTTACCAATTTTAGACATATTTTCAGCCATTGATATCTAATTGGTATATCAGCTCCTTGGACATTCAATCCTTCACGCTTGCTTGCATGTCTCAAGAGTTTAAGGAGTCAGGTAGGGGTGCTTAAATTTGTAATTTACTGGTATTTTCTTCCAGGCTTAGAAACTCCATAATTGATTACTTTATCCTCTTGAAAGTTATAAGGATTATGTTCTAGGTTCTGTCATTATGTAAGCAGCTGGCCATTGATGTTGATAGAGATAATATCTGCTTTGCATCATATGACATTTTGGTAAACAAAGTTTTCAGGGATCAGTGTATGCGCCATCATTTGACCATGGTATTGGGGACCCTGTGGAAGATGATATTTTTGTGAACCTGCAGTAAGCATATTAACTTTAAAGACATTACTTTATCTGCAGTTTAGTAAGGCACTTTGGTAGAGCTCTTAGATTGGAATCAATGTAAACCATCAGAGTATACATTGGATGCATTTTGGATGAAAACAAGTTCTTGATTGGATTGTTTGGTGTGTGTGTGTGTGTGTGTGTGTATTCTGTGAGGAAATACTTCATGGAAGAATTTGCTTCTAGGAGAGGGAACCTTTTGTTTTTTGTCAAAAGAAATGAAATAAGGGAGAACTACAATAAGGTTTCAAGAAAAGAAAATAATTATTAGTCCCAATGACAAATAAGCAGTTGTCATTTCTTACACTAGAATTTGTCACTGCAGGCTGCTCTAGTTGTCACAGGGGGTTTTTAGTAATTATGTTCTTTTCTTGGGGCTTCATAGCAATTCTCCCATGAAATAAAACCTTGCTAAAGCGTGTCAATGATTAATTTGGCCGAGACTTCACTTTGAACCAATGAGATTCATCCTCAAAATGGAGCCTGGATAACAAACTCCATCTCAAAATGTTATTCATAAGGCTATAGTAATAGTGACAAGGTATGTTTAGATTCAGGGGCTAACAGGAAACCAAGGTTAACCATAATGGAAAATTACACACTCAAGTATTTCTTGTTCGGTTCATGTTTGTTGACTATGACAAAGCAAGCCCATGGCAGATACTGATTTAATTATTTAATCTATGATTGGAAATATTAATATTGTAAAGTGAATCTAATAAATCTTAAGCACTTATATTCTTAGTTTTCGCAATTGAGCCAACTTATTTATTGATTTATTAATATGTAATTCTTGAGCACATTTCTTTTATGTAGGCATAAAGTGGTTATTGTAGAGGGCAACTACTTGCTTTTGGAAGATGGCATATGGAAGGAGTTATCATCTTTGTTTGACGAGAAGTGGTAATTTCTAGTTTTAGTGAGTCTGAACCTTTTTTTTTTTTTTTTTGTAGCTTTCTTTCAGCCTTGGGAATTGAGAGGAGATAAATCAAGGCTAAAGACCCGCATCCAATAATCATGATTAATTGTTCAGTAACCTTTAACGATGGGAATAAAATTAACTTAATTGGGATGAAATTATCACTATAATAATACATCCTTATGTTTTCTATATCACATAGAAGCTCTCTAATTTTCTTAATGTTGACTTATTGAGATTCTACTGAGGAAAAAAAAGAGAAAAGAAAAAGAAGAGGAAAAGAAAATGTGCAGAACACCATGAAGGCGAAAAACCATCAGGGTGCTTAGGCGTCCTCCTGACCTTCACAAAAATATGTGCTTGAAAGTCAGAATTTTTTCGCAGTATATTTAGGACCAGAAAAGTCATATTGGACTGTTATTAGATGTACACGGTTTGGAGCGTGTATCCACACCTCGCATATATTTAGGAAAAGGGTAATTTGAATAGACCATGAAGGAGACGACCTGATGTAAGTCTGGGGCAGTTGCTTTTGCTGTTTCAGAATTTCTTACTTTTACCAATGCCTAACTTGTTCTGTCTTTCTGTTTTTGAAAGGTTTATTGATGTAGACATCGACAAAGCCATGCACCGAGTTTTAAAGAGACATATATCAACTGGTACCCGCTTTTTCATAAATATTCAATTAATTATTAAATTCCGTTGTGAACAGAATGCATTTTATAGTTACACGATCCTTTTCTCTTCGATTTCCCTATCTTTAATAGGCAAGCCCCCGGACGTTGCTGAATATCGAGTAAGCTTCGCACTTACAGCTTAAGAATATCTCTGGTAATTCTCGTGCGCGCTTGAGAGATGACCGTCTTGGTTTTATGATGCAGATAGAGTACAATGACCGGCCCAATGCAGAGCTTGTTATGAAGTCCAAAAATAATGCTGATCTTGTAATCAAGTCAATTGATTTCTGATTAATCACCTTGCTGCGTATTTCTGGAAACTGGAAAATTGAGGAAGGGAATTTATTTATTTACTTATTTCATTTTGGTGTAAACAGAAGGAAAGTATTAGGGGGTCATGATGAAAGAATAATCCCTGGGATAATGTATTTTTGAAGGATTTTTGGGTGTGTCTTCAACCCAATTGCCTGGTTGAATTGCCCAAAAAAACGGGAGATCTGGACTTCGACAACACAACGCATCAAATAACACGAAGAAGGAGAAGAGCTTAACATTTGCATGCAAATTTTGTCCTCTATTTCTCCGGTTACTTTCGGAAGGTTTGAAGCCCTTCATCCACTCCATTTCTCTCTACGACATAGTAATTACTCATCACATATCAGATTATATATTCCCAGGTTATGCGGTTGCCTTATTCCTCTTAATTAATTATTACTTCCCGTCATAATTATAAGACTTCTTTTATAATCTACAAATACAGTCTTATAATTAGGATCGGAGGTAGTAAAAAACAACTGCTCACATATGAGGATGATGTAATGTCACATTTTAAAAGCGTGACTTATATCATTCTGTAATGCTCAATTTTAGCTGGTTAACAATAACAAAACAGGCATTAAACCCCTTAATTGGTGCGAAATTTATTTACGTTGTAGTTACATGAGAAAGTCTGAACTCTATTTAAATTCTGCTTCACCTTTGTCATTCGAGTGAAATTCGCCTTTGTAGTTACATATTTTTATTTATGTTATACTGAAAAGATTGAAACTTTAGTTACAAATTCAAATCCTCCTCCGTCGTCATATTCTTACTGCGGTAATTAATATTAATAATATTTTATCATATATGGATGCCAAGCAAATCCCCCTGTATAGGAGTTTTTAAATGGAACTTTTACTTATATGTGCACGTGACCAAATAAGCACTTGAACAACCACAGCCTCGAAAGAAAACTCTCATTTCTCTGTGTGTCCGGACAACACGCTCATCCCCAGTAAAAGATATAACACTGGCCAGCCAGAAAGAAGAAAACGACGAAGGAGGCTTTCTTATGGGAACAAAATTGCGATCAACTTGTTAGGCTGTGTTTGGATCTCCGTCTGCAATGGCAAACATGCCTACGAAAGTGTAGAACGCAGGTTGATAGCTTATTTGAAGTAGTCTAGTTGTTTGGTACAGCGTTTTTCTAAGTTGACTTTTTGTTTCATCACACGCTGCAAATGAAGCTATATTTTGCTCCGTCAGATGTAAAAGTCCATTACCAATGTGAAGAGAAAAGGATAATAGTGATGAAAAGACAAAAGGCTACCTTGTATTATTGGGGGAAAAAAAATAAAATCATTAAAAAAAACCCAATAACTTAATTATTTACAAAAGTATCCTAAGGAAAAAAGAAAGAACTAATAAAATTTAATGATGACAGTACACTATAAACCCAATTCATATGTATTATTACTAATTTTTAATTGAGTTCTAAAAATCTGTAAAATCAAATAAAATAAAATAATATTCAATGGCTATATGTACAAAAATTATGTTAAATATATCCAATTAAGTATTTTTTTTACTATTTATAATTTTTCTTATAATATGTTAACTCTTTATTTGTATACCTTTAATTTTAATATTTTTCTTAAATTCATTAGATTATATATATTATATATATAAAATAAGACTCATACTTTTTAATTATTTTATATCTAAACTTACTTTTCAATTATTCATCCAAATAAGTTTTAATTTATCAAACCAACTTTTTATAAATACCAATCCAAACATAAATCAAATTATACTAAGTGACCTTTACTCCAACTCATGTTTATAAAGGTTAAATAGAATAAAAGTCAGTTTTGTCACCGTTAATCCAAATACACCCTTAGTTTTATACTAATTAATGTTAACATAGTTTTCTGCGTCTAGATAGTCATCAATTTCTTCACAATGAGAACTCAACGTATTTTGTCGGTAATATTCAGAACCAAGATCTGAGCGCATTAGTCGAAGTGGCGAATCCACCATGGCCTTCGACCTCTTCAGCTGCGACTCCAAATCTCATGATTCGATTTATTTTCTATCTTTTGTTTAGTGGCGAACCTCTGAAGCTCAATCGCATAACAATGGCCACCAATTTCTTGCGTGTGACTTTCTGTCAATACACAAAATAACAACAGACAGCGAATTATTCATATCAAGTTTCTATAAACAGCTTGCCAACTTGTGATGGGATCGACCAACCTTCCTCAATTGGAGATGCCACCATCGTGGCCCCGCTATTATTATTTTGACCTTTTTTTTTTAAATATTGTTGTAACTTATTTTCAACAATATATATATATATATTTTTGTTTGGTTCAATATTCTTATGGGATCTATTTGCTATTATAAAGCTTTTTTAGAAGCATCGAAGCATATAGTTCTGAAACATTTGTGACTCTTTCGATGTCAACTGAGTTTTTCAACTGTCTTGCAAAAATATATCCATCATATCGCAATCCTGTTATTATAAATTTTTATATCATTGTATTTTACATTGTTTATTTCCGTCATAATATGCAATCCATGTCAAATTTAATTTTAACATTATTATAAAACGCGGCATCATTTGGTTTTATTTTCAAGATTTATTTTTATAAATATCGTAAAAAGCTATTTTCACAAAGGTTCTACCTTTTTTGGGGTTAACCAATAATACGCTGTGTGTACTAATCAGCAGTTTTCTCACAGCATTTACAATATAGTTAGAGGGAAAAACTCGCGTTTTATTATATTTAAGATATATTGTTTCCTAATTAAATTATAATAGGTTAATTCTTACGCATAACTACTCTGCCACTCACTTTTGTTATCAATAACTTTAACTTTTCAAATCCAAAATTCACTTATTTTATTTTAATTCAAAAAAACCTTTAGTATATATAAGTTTAACTATATATCTACTTTTTTTATATATAATTTATTTTGACAAAGTTTCGTATGAGTTCCATTCGGCCCCTTACGACAAAATAAAAATCGTTATTAATTAGAAACATATTTTAATTTCAAAATTTTTTCGATGGTTTGTTTAAATGATTACGTATATAAATATACTCGCGGCAAAAGGGCGCGAATTCCATCTTCTGCGCTTCAATCAAAATCGCCAAATGGGAAACGTCCCAGGAATTATAATATTTCTGGGTACGAATAGAGTGTGGTTCACACATACATCTTGAGCAGAAAATATATTAAGAGGCTTAATTGGTTGCTTTGATTAATTTTCACTGCAAAATAAGTATTAAACAAAAGTTTGACCTGAATATTCTAGAATTGAAACCAACTAGCAATAATATCCTTAACGTATTAAATGACTGAGATGGGCATGCTTATAAATGCACCATGATCAATCACATGATCTTGTTCCCCCATTCAACATGCTGAGGGAACATTTCCAGTACCACACACTATGAATATTACGCAATAATCCCACAAGGAATCCCATCAAAATAAAACACACCAACGTTATATATTTATATATATTTATAGCTACAGCAGACGACAAGCACACTGTTAAACCTTATTATTAAGCAAGCACTCACAAGTCATACCAGACAGGCAGATATATAAGAAAGACAAGTCTCACGCAACATACTTAAGAACCATTATTGTTTGTGTTTCATGATTAATACTTGGTGGGTATCTCACTGCTCAACATGTTTCCAAATATCACATTATAACAAACCATAATTATACAGAAATTAACTACGTACAATCCAAACACCTTCATCTGTCTGCCTGCTGCAGCTTTTGCCTTAGTTTGCACGCCTAATCTAGCCTCGGTTCTTGCATTTCTCCATTGCTCTTGGTGCTGAAATAGTTCAATTCAACCCAAACAAAGTTATTATTATGCATGGAAGGAGTAATAATTAGAAATGAAACCACCGTGATTAATCTATATATATATAGGCTAGTTGAACCTTTCCGAAAGAAAATTCACTTACCAAGCCCAATAGCTTCTTTTCCCTTCATAATACGCAAGCGCTTGCAGGATTCAACGAACATCCTGCAGGTTGATTTTAAGACAATCCATGTTATAAGTCTGTACGTAGGGCATCGCCATAACAATTAATTGTGAAGAAGTAATTGTAGAATTTAAGCGTATATGATCATGTGAGAGGGGGTACTGCGTGATTAGTAATAGATGGAAAAGAGTAAATACAATGATGGGTTTTGGGTTGTAGCTAAAAAGGCTAATCAGGAACATATATCGTTTTCTAAGAGCACATATAGTTGTCTGAATAAAAAGCGTGATTGAAAAAGACTGGTGAAAAAATAATGGAGGATATTATTGAGAAATTCTTTATGGTAAAGCCTTTGCTTTGGTAGTGAGAAAGAGCAGAGAAATTAGTTAAGAGACGAGAGGAAGAAAATGAACATACTCCCAAGGGACATCACCGACAAGCATCCAGTCGCCATCCTTGTCCTCATAGGTCGGGACATAGTCGGAGCTGTTCAACAGATCCATCAGCTTACTCTCATTCATGAAATCCTTCAGTCCTTGGGATCCACAATTCCCTTCAATTCATTAATCATCAACACCACCACTTTTGTTAATCATTACTATATATACAGTTGACCATTATGTATTAATTTCTGGATAATAATCATAACTGAATAAGCTAGCTAACTAATTAATTACCTATGGTGAAGGAACTGAACATGTTGCCTAAGGCATCAGAGAGGTCTTGATAGCTCTTGTACATCTTGAGGTCCACTTTGCGAAGATATGGAGCTCCGTCCATGCTCACTTTCACAAAGCTTCCATTAGGGCTGCTTTTCTGATCACTCTCTTCTCCGTTCTTCTTTTGGGCCAGCATGTTCTTCCGGAACGATCTCACGGGTGGCCACCCCACCACTTGAGCCCTTTCAATTCATTTGTTTTTATTGGTCAACTCTCCATCTTAACAAAATGCTCAAGCTACCATATATTTATATCCGTGGGACTCATATGTTCATATATTATTAACATCTTCCTTCATATGTTTTTGTTATCTCATCTCACCCAACGCAGTTTCACCTTCTAAGATATTAAGAAAAGACCCATCTCAATTAACTAATATATACTGTGCTCGAAAGTAGCAGATAAAGAATTAATCAAAGATTATGACCAGCTAAAGAGAAGTTCATTACCTATGTCTAGCTCGCAAAACTAAATGCCGCCGCCGGAATGAGTATGAAACCCCCCCGTAGGCAGAAGAAATCATGTACTTCTACCGTTTTCGCATTGTACGGTACTGGAATATAGTTGAAGCTAGTGGTTTTGATTAGGATTTTCGGGACGACAAAGATAGAGATAAAAAATACCATTCCAGTTTCATTTAATTCAATCTCTACAAAAGTAGAGTATAGTCTATATGTATCCACCTGAT